CGACGAACATGATCAGAACGGACTTAAACTTTCCGATAGGGAATGTAATCAGATACAGGCGTTTACACGGATATTATTCTTCTATTTGACGGATTATTTACAGGATTACCCACCTCGATCAGTCAAATAGAAACTGTATTCCGAATGGCCTCAATCGGACTAGACTATTCCGACTGACGTGTTTACATGGACGTATTCTATTCCGATTGAGCTATTAGTTGGATTATTAACGGATTATTAGGCTGCATGTAAACATGGCTAGTGAAGGCTGCAGTCTATGAATACACTACACTGAGATGCTCTGAACAGGCTGTACTGACATCACGGCTTACTGAAATAACATGTTTAGAAACATTATTTTAAACTTTACATTTCATTCCAAAGTCTGGCAACACAGCGCCATGCCATTCGCGCTGTGCATGAAGGACTGTGAGTGACCGAAGGTCTAGAACAGGTGAGGAACCGAAGGCCAGACTCCAGTGCAATTTGGTGTACACTCTTAGAAAAATGGTTCATTAGTAAAGGGAATGGCTCTATTTAGAACCACCAGTTCCATATAGAACCATTTGCATGCTTAAATGGTTCTTTTTATGGTAAAATAGTTCTTCAGATTGATGGAAAAGGTGCTGTATATTTTTCCATAGCACCCAAAAGGGTTCTTCTATTGATATTTTTAAGATGTCAAGCTTGTTACAATACAAGAACCCTTTTGGGTGCTAAAGAACCATATACAGCACATTTTCCATCCATCTGAAGAACAATTTTACCATGTAAAGAACCATTTAAGAATGAAATGGTGCTATATAAATCTATATATATAGAACCAGCTGCAACTCTGTGTCTGATCACCTCACACCAGGGCAACACACACTAACACGCCACCACCACGTCAGTGTTACTGCAGTGATGAAAATGACCCACCATCCAAACAATACCTGCTCTGTGGGGGTCCCGTGGGGGTCCTGACCATTGAAGAACAGGGTAACAAAATATGCCGAGAAACAGATGGACTACAGTCTGTAACTGGAGAACTACATGGTCACTAGAGCTGATGAAATGGACAATGAGAGTAGAAACAAACAGTGCCCGATGAGCGTATATACATACACACTATATAGACAACAGTATTGAGACATCTACACATTATACCTACAGGAGCTCTTATGAATCCCATTCTAAATCCTGTCTCTGTGGGAATTTCTGCCCATTCATCCAGAAGACCATATGTGAGGTCACTGATGTTGGACGAGAGGGTCTGGCTCACAATCTCCGTTCTAGTTCATCCCAAGGGTGTTTGATGGGGTTGAGGTCAGGGCTCTGTGAGGGTCAGTCGAGTTCTTCCACACCAAACTCACCCAGTCAGGCCTTTATGGAGCTGCTTTGTGCACTGGGTCTCAGTCATGCTGGAACACGAAAGGTTCTTCACCAAACTGTTCACACAAAGTTGAAAGAAAACAACTGTCCAAAATGTCTTGTTCTGCTGAAGCATTAAGTGTTCCCTTCACTGGAACTAAGGGTTCTAGACCAACCCCTGAAAAACAGCCCCATATCATCACCCCTCCTCCACCAAACTCTACAGCTGGCACAGTGCAGTCAGGCAGGTAATGTTCTCCTGGCATTCGTCAAACCCAGACTCGTCCATCAGACTGACCGATAGAGAAGCTGATTTATCACTCCACAGAATACGTTTCCACTGCTCCAGAGTCCAGTGGCGGCGCTCTACTCCACTCCAGCCGATGCTTGGCATTGTGCATAGTGATCTTAGGCTTGTGTGCAGCTGATCAGCCATGGAAACCCATTTCATGAAGCTTCTAATGCACAGTTCTTTTGTTCATGTTGCTTCCAGAGGCAGTTTGGAACTCTTTAGTGATTCAACAGAGGATAGACACTGTGCTCTTCAGCACTCGGCGCCCCCACTCTGTAAGCTTGCATGGTCTACAGCTTTGTGGCTGAGCTGTTGCTGCTCCTGGATGCTTCAATTTCACAGTAATAGCACTTTCAGTTTGGGGCAGATCTACCAGGACAGAAACTTCACAAACTGACTTGTGACAGAGGATCATCAGTGCCATGTGTAAAGTCACTGAGCTCATCAGTGTGACCCATTCTACTGCCAGTGTTTGTCCATTCGAGACTGCAAGGCTATGTGCTTGATTTTATACACCTGTTAGCAATTTGTGTGGTTATACAACAGTTAGTCCCGGCCACGCGAGCTTATCACGGTTTTTTCACAAACACTGTATCACTCCACTGAGACGCCGTTGCTAAGCAATGACTTTGACAGCTGTAGGAGACGCTCAAGCCATTTGAACGTTTTTACTTCTTACTTTGCCACAAAAAGAAAATGGACACTTTTAAGATCACATTTGACCGACAGCCGATTTGGTCAGACTCTGAAGATGAGACGACACTAAATTCCCAAACTGTCATCACCACTGAGCAGCTTTTCAGTCGGCAGCTGTGACAGAAGAACAGCTAAACAACCTGGAATCAGCCAGAAATTAACCCAATACCATTCGCCAAACGTGTAGTCTGATCTTCAGAGTCTGACCAAATCGGACTGAGCCATAAAACTGCCGCAATAAAAAACAAACTGCTTAATTAAAACACCAGAACTCAACAACTAGGAGGTGTGTCCCAATACTTTTGCCTATATAGTGTACATGTGATTTTCCCTGTGGAGAGTGCTACACATCGATGTAGTGTAAATCTGTCTCAATCTAGTTTCTATTCTTTGTAAAACCTTTAAATTGTCCACTCAGGTTTAGAAAACAAGAAGCTCACTGCGGCCTCAAGTCATTATTTTACAGTTAAACACGCTCTGCGTCTTTATTTGAGCCTGGTGGACACGAGCAGACAGATTCTCCTCAAATATATGATGGACACCAGCTGGGAGTGGAAAGGGAGGAGTGTGCACACTTCAGATAATAGAGACTCACCCCCTCCTGTTTCCTGTTCAGCAAACAGGAAGTGTGGTTCCATCATTTTTTCACTGTTAATTTATGAAAGGCCTTGTTTTTGGTTGAAAAATGCTGCTGTGAGAGACTTTTGTAGAGCCGCTGGACATTTTACAAGCCCCTCTGAAGGTGTGCTAGACTAGTAACTGATTCAACTTGCATGTATTTAAAGAAAACTTAAAAATCATTTTTAATAAGAGTGAAAAAGGTCTACTTTAGATGGCCTACTGTGCCCATACATGCTCTAACAAACAAACAGCAATCAATGAAAAGAAAACAGCTTTGAAAAGGCACAGTAAAAAGCGAGCCGTGTTTCACGGTTAAGAATTTTGAATATATATCTGCCGAAAAAACGAGAAGAAATTAAACTAACAACAACGTGGCTACTTGACTGGTCAAACTGCTAATTGAGATCCAACATTTCCAGAGTGTTTCCAGATTAAAAAGCTGTTTACAGCCCTGAACTGCAGAGGATTACAAGCAAGAGTCGCTCTTTGTCCTGCTCTCCTGTGTGTACTACCTACACATGTAAATATATGCAAATATATAACTGTAACTCCATGTTCCTGTTTTGTTACAGTCAATTTATAGAGGCAATATGGAGGAACAAATGAGTCTTAGCGTAAATGATTCTGAGTTAGTTTCAAATTTCATACAGTTTAAGGGCTCATATTAATAGAGTATTAGTGAAACTGAATTTGCCTTTATGTTTTTTCAATTTAATTTCCCTGCTGTATTTTTTTAAGTTTGACTTAGTATGTAAACACTGTTAAAATGTATCATTTACTCTATATTCCATATATGCAAATGCTGCAGAACAGTCCATTTTCAACACATACATATATATATATTTATATATATATATCTATATATGTATATATAAAACGCTCAGTAGCAGTGATGCCAACCAATCAGCGCTCAGTAGCAGTAATGCCAACCAATCAGTGCTCAGTTGCAGTAAAGCCAACCAATCAGCCCTCAGTTGCGGTAAAGCCAACCAATCAGCACTTAGTAGCAGTAAAGCCAACCAATCAGCACTCAGTTGAAGTAGTGCCAACCAATCAGCTCTCAGAAAAAGTAATGTTGACCAATCAGCACTCAGTAGCAGCTATAATACCTAATCAGCACTTAGTAGCTGTAATGCTAACCAATCAGCACTCAGTAGCAGTACTGCTAACCAATCAGCACTCAGTAGCAGTAATGTTGACCAATCAACACTTAGTAGCAGTAATGCTAACCAATCAGCACTCAGTAGCAGTAATGTTGACCAGTCAGCACTCAGTAGCTGTACTGCTAACCAATCAGCGCTCAGTAGCAGTAATGTTAACCAATCAGCACTCAGTAGCAGTAATGTTGACCAATCAGCTCTCAGTAGCAGTAATATTGACCAATCAGCGCTCAGTAGCTGTAATGTTGACCAATCAGCGCTCAGTAGCTGTAATGTTAACCAATCAGCGCTCAGTAGCAGTAATGTTGACCAATCAGCGCTCAGTAGCAGTAATGTTGACCAATCAGCGCTCAGTAGCAGTAATGTTAACCAATCAGCGCTCAGTAGCAGTAATGTTGACCAATCAGCGCTCAGTAGCAGTAATGTTAACCAATCAGCGCTCAGTAGCAGTAATGTTGACCAATCAGCGCTCAGTAGCAGTAAAACAGGAAATATACATATAAGCTTTCATTGATGTTTAGTGAAACACATCTTTTCCACTTTCCGAAATTAAAGGAAAGTCCTGCTCAGACGGGTAGAAACTATATTAACATCATTTTTAGCGGTTTAGCTCCATTCACCCCCATTCACTGAGGACTCGCTCGCGGGCGCCCTCTGGCGTTTAGCAGTCGTTTTTGATATAACGGGAGAAACAGGAAGTGGCCGAACTCCCCTTAAACCGGCTAAGGTCCACCCATTTTGAGTCACGCCCCTCCCACTTGAAGCTAAAACCCACTCATTGGCGCCACGCCCCTCCCGTTTGGCGATCAGCCCCGCCCAGTTTTGAGTTACGCCCCGCCTATTTGGAGCTTTCCAGCACGCCTCCCCTTCTTCGGCGTCAGCGCCGCGCCTTGCCGAGCGGCCGAGCTCACAGTTAGCCGGGCCCCCGAGTGAGGAGAGGAGCGGAGCGGAGCCTTTATCTGCACGAACTGAAGTCTCGGACTGTACAGGGACGCCCTCGTCTTCCACAGAGGCAGCAAAGCAGCGCAGCAGGTTCGGGTGAGATGGGGAACCGAGTTGCTCGGGAGGATTTTGAATGGGTTTACACAGACCAGCCGCATGCGGACCGGAGGAAAGAGATTCTGGGTGAGTGACTTACAGTAAAACATCCGCGATTTAATCAGCAGTTCTTTATTTATTTATTTATTTGGTATTTTTTGTTCCGTGACTTGTGCGCCAGTACTAAGAACCTGTATTACGAAATCTCCCGTTCCACCTTAAACGCTGCAGCACACGTTACATTCTGGCGCCTCGGGCAGTAACTGCTGCACCATTTAAGGTGGAACGGAAAAAATTCGAACAAGATGTTCGCGAATAGGAAAGCCAACTTTTGCCTCCTGTATTTGACATTAGCTGTCCAGCTGATACTAGGCATTGTCCGTCGACACATGACCATTTAAGGTGGAACGGAAAAATTCGAATAAGAATCTAACTAGTTAACAGGGAGCCGACTTAAGCCTCATGTAACTTCCTTGAAGAAGACACGAAATATCCAGCAGATATTAGGTATAGTCTTTTGGAACATAAAGACACGGGTTAAGTTTCCTCATCGCTGATTTTGTTAGCCGGTCCACCTTAAATGGCGCAGCCGTTAACGTACACTTAAGTTACATCCGCTTGTACAGGGCAAAAGAAGCGAACTAAAGCTAAAGCGAACTAAATAGTGTATCGTTCTGTAACAGTCACTGTCAGTAAAAACGTAATTTTGATATATTCTGTCTGTTAGCAGCAGATAGCACTCATGCTAAACCCACAACTCAAAGCGTACCGTTATGTCAGGACAGCTAAGCTAAGCTAACGCCCACCAAAGCTAAGCCCCCCACACCCTGTTAGCTTAGCCACATTGACTCTGCTCCGTTAGCAGCTGTTCAGCTATGAAACAGCTCCCTAATTACGTTTATACTTTATAAAAAACACCGATTTAAAGACCCTTTGGCTGTTAAATGTCAGCTAGACGTCGCGGCTGGATCCTTAAAAAGACAAGGACGAACTCTTGAAATCTTTAGCTCGCATTAAAGGGGAATTCCACCGATTTTTCCCCTCAGAATTTCTGCATAATTGAGTGTTTGAGATGTAATCAGAGAGATTCAGAGTGGTTTGGTGTGAAATTGTTCAGATGTCTTTACAGTGGTGGTGATAGGAACCAGGGGTCACCATGACTACAACACAAATATAGACATTTTATTTACTATCCAGAACCACCAGTGAACCTACACGAGTCTTCTGAGTGTTTAATAGTGTTTAATAGTGGAAAATCTGGGAAAAAAAAAGTTTTCTTAGAGACTCACAAACGCCCTCCATATACCCCTCCACTAGAGGTGGGAAAAAATGTAATATCACGATACTGACAAGTTTTAGTGCCACACAATATGTCACAATATATATATATATATATATATATATATATATATTCTGATATCTGAAGAATTGGTAGTGCCACATTTAAAAAAAATAGGATTAAAATCTATACATAGAATGATCTGCATTCAAAATTTTACACTACGCCACACTAAATCCAGTCGAACAGGTCTAATGATGCTCTCTTTGTAGTCAAACATGCAGTTGGGAGTGTTTTTATTAAGTGCTGATGTCCAAAATATGCTCAGAAAAGCTTATTGTGGCATAATTTATCACGATGATGATAAATACTCATATATAGTGCAGCTCTGTCCTCCACCATAAATGGATGAAAACACAGTTTAAGCCAAAACTTTATCAGAAAACTGTTGTAAAACAGTGTCTCAGTCATCAGGCAGTGAATTCATAAGCATTTCATGTAGTAACTCTGTGAGGGAGCTTTTAGAGGTGGACGTCTGGTTCCTATCACCACCACTGTGAACAGTTCTGACTCGGTGAAGTTTCTCTAGAACAGAGCGTTTCACACCAAACCACTCTGAACGACTCTGTTTATATCTTAACTAGAAAAATCAGTTTTAAATGAGCAAACATTTGTCTTTTTTGGAGGGGAAAAAAACTCCATACTGCCATAATAATGCTTGGCGGCGGCGACACCTGAGAGTCTGCAGCTGATATGAAGGCAGTGAACAGCAGGAGTTAATCTTTTTATGACACACTTGTATTGTGGCTGTATTTACTTAAGAGATTAACTGTTTGAAGAGCGAGATGCAGTGAGTGACACGTTTAAAGACTAGGTACTCGGCAAGTTAGGGGGCTGAAAGTGACCAGCATGACTGTCACATGCTGCCTAAGGATCCACATGTGTGGGATTAACTCCCAGCCTGAGGGCAGGACTTTTTACATGTAGGATAAATGCTGTTGCGTCTCCTTTGGTGCTGCCAAATGCTTAATGCTTCACCAGGTAGCTCTCAACTCCTACACATTAAAAAAGATGGTCCTTCAGGGGTTTTTAGTAAAGAAAATGGTTCCATGGACCCTCAAAGAATGCTTTGTAAAATTTTAAGGGTTCTTTGCATGGTGAAATTGTTCTTCGAATCAGTGGAGAATGTGTACATGGTTCCATATAGAACCTTGTTGAAAATGGTTCTGTACAGCAGAACTGGTCCAAGCTTGACATCCTAGCAACAGCAGAACCCTTTTTGATGCTATATAGAACCCTTTCCAGAAAAACAACGCATTCTCTCTCTGCCCGAAGAACTATTCACCATGCAGAGGACCTTTTAATTATTCAGAGGGTTCTTTGAGCGTTCATGCTTCTATCTAGAACCGTTGTCTTTACTAAACAGCCCTTAAATTTGAAAATGGTTCTATATGGCACCAAAAAAGGGTACAGGCTTGACTTCATACCAATAGCAGAACCCTTTTTGGTGCTACACAGAACCCTTTTCAAACAGGCTCTACACAGAACCATATACAACACATTCTCCATCAATCTAAAGAACCATTTAATCATGGAAAGGGTTCTTCGAGGGTTCATGCTTCTATGTGGAACCATTTTCTTTACTAAATATCCATTCTTTTTAAGTGTGAAGCTTGACTATGAAGACTCAAAGAACCATTTCACAAGTAAACGGTTCTTTGCCTGGTTCTTCAGGTCGATGGAGAATGTGTCGTATATTGTTCTACATAGAAGGTTTCTGAAAATGGTTCTGTATAGCAACAAAAAGGGTTCTTCTACTGTTACAAGCTTGACATCTAAATAGAACTACTGTCTTTACTAAGGAACCCTTATTGTTACACTATCTAGGTGCAAATATTTGAGATAATCACAATTATTTAAGCAGACTGTGGTCATAGGGGGCAGTCGTGGGCTGGAGGTTAGGGAACCAGCCTTGTGACCGGAAGGTCGCCGGTTCGATCCCCTTGCCCTTGAGCAAGGCACCTAACCCCCAACTGCTCCCCGGGCGCTGCGGATAGGGCTGCCCACCCCGGGCAAGTGTGCTCACTGCCCCCTAGTGTGTGTGTTCACTAGTGTGCATGTATGTTGGTTAAATGGGTTAAATGCGGAGGTCTAATTCCTCTGTGTGCAAAACACCGTTGGCTAAAAAGGTGCTGAATTCATGAGTGCAGTATTGATTAGACAGCACTGCTGTAAGGAGGCCAATTTAGGCTTGTATTTTGATAATTGCAAACATTTAAACATGAAAAGACAAACATGAAAAGACAAACTGTTAATTGAATTTATTAATATGGCAATAAATCGTAGGCTGAAATTTTATGAGTGCGCTCAATATCGGGACCTATGTTCTGATGTTAGGTGTGATTCAGTGGAGGTACTCAGCCCTTAGGCCCTGTTTACATAAAGGGAGTTTAACATACCACAGTGGAAAGTTGCCTCTGTATGCTTTGATGACTCTTTGTCATGAAGCAGCCGCTGAGGACGGACGCCTGTCCTGACTGAATAATTCATGCTGGAAGGCCTTTGTGCCAGTGGAGTCATGCTGAGATGGTGTGATGAGACAACAGCCATTATTCATTTAAAGTGGCTCATCATGAGAGGAAAGGCCAAGATAAACTGTGCGAGCTGGCAGTCCAACAGAGCAAGGAAATACTGGCAGCTGCTGCTCCAAAATCAAGGTGTTTTGCAAAAAAAACACTGTTAAACTGGAAGGAAAATGCAAAGAGTGCTTCAACTATTGTGTGCGCCGACGTGGAGGTTCACCCTTCTGCCTCGGCCGAGTCCTGAGTCAGGACTTGCCCCATATAAGGCAATACGTTCTCAGGAAGTTACTCATCTTTGCCAGGACATGCCCACAGTTAACGCAGTGTGTGGCAGACAGCGGAACAGAAAGTGAATGCAGTGCTTACATGCCATGGAGTGGTTTACTATGACTCACCTGTCTAGTTTGGTCTCCTCATGACTGCATTTCTGTCTAAGCTTCAGTAATTATTTAAAATAGAGGATATAGTAATAAATATTGGCTGAGACTGAAATGGATCGCTGTTTGCTGCTTAGGGCACTATTGAGGACGTTGGCCACTTTGGCTACGTTCATATTACAAGCCTCGTTGCTCAAATCTGATTTTTTGCTCAAGTCCGATCTGTCTGACACGATGGTTTTCACTCGTTTAGGTAAGTGACTCAAATCTGTCATTAATGTGACGAACCGGCGTCCTGAAATGACCCTCATGCGCACATCCTACTCAGTAACGTCACGTGAATGAATCACGTTCATCATCAGCACAAACTAACGAGCAGAACGAGCTTCGCTGAGAAGATCATTAACTCTGATCAGCTCTCAGCTTCATTATTAGAGCGAGACGAAGGAGAAAAAGGTGAGATGAGCTGCTTTTCCACCGTTTACAGGCTTTAACTCAGGTCGGATTTGAAAAGATCAGATTTGCGTGTCCACACAGCCCTGAAAACATCAGATCTGAGTCACATTAGGGCAGAAAATCAGATTTGTCAGCCTGGAAATGTGAACGTAGCCCTTTCTACCGGTGTTCAGAGTGGTTTTGAGGGCACTACAGTTTCCCCCAGTGCACTCGTAGTTCCTAGTGAGCATTGTAGTTCTCATAGGGCACTGATGTTATGCAACGGACAGAGGAACTTTATGTGCTGGTGAAAAAGGAACCTTAACGGACTTTTATAGTGCAGAAACATTACAAAAGAATGGCAGTTGTGTACAGTTAAAAACAAAGACCCTAATGCTGCAGCAATGTTGACTGGTAACTGTAGGTTACTGCAGTCATGGACCACAATAAAGTAAGGGGAATTACACCAATTACTGCATAATTCAGAGTGTGAGATGTAATCAGAGAGATTCAGAGTGGTTTGGTGTGAAATGGTTCAGATGTCTTTACAGTGGTGGTGATAGGAACCAGGGGTCGCCATGACTACAACACAAATATAGACATTTTATTTACTATCCAGAACCACCAGTGAACCTACACGAGTCTTCTGAGTTTATATGGAATGTTGATGATGGAAAATATTGGTAAATCTGCAATCATACGTTTTCTTTGGGGACTATTTTGCCTCACAGCACCCTGAATATTATGTATCCCTCCACCTTGAATGGATTTTAAGCCCAAAACCTGCTCAAAATTATCATAATTTTCATCTCAGTCATCAGAGAATCATCAGTGAATTCATAACCATTTCATGTGGTAACTTTCTGTGAGGGAGCTTTTAGAGGTGGACGTCTGGTTCCTATCACCACCACTGTGAACAATTCTGACTCCAAGTTTCTCTAGAATGGAGCGTTTCACACCAAACCACTCTGAATGACTCTATTTACATCTTAACCACTTAATTAGTTAAAAAAAATTGAAATTTCCTCTTTACATACAAAAGTTTTTACTTTTTCCTTGTCCCCTGCACTTTTGAGAGCCCATGTCTACGGCTACGAATGACAAGCCAACCTCAGCCTTGCAAACAGCTTGTGTTGGTGTTTTTAATGCAAATGGTGAATTCAGACACGAGCTGATTGAGAAAGTAACCAAACCCCATTTATCATGGGTTATTACACATACTTAGTAAACTAAGTGGCTCTCCTCTTTTAGGCTATAGCACAATACTATGACTTAGTAGGGATCCAGTTCAGTCACCACCAACCCTGAATGTAGTGTGCCAGACTGCCAGTAACGTGTGATGTCACAACACATGGAGGTTGATTTTTCACAAGTTCTGTGTTATTAGGTTAAATTTCCCCACTTAAAACTCCAGACAACATTGTTGATAATGCAGACTATGGCTGTAACTATAATTGCAGTTTTGATAGGAAAACGATTAATGTTTCAGCCCTAATTGGAACTAGGTATTGAAATTAGGAGTGGGTGATATGGCAAAAATATTATATCACAATACCTCAAGACATCTTCACGATATACAATGTGCATCACGATATTGTTTTTCTGAGATTTGATAAGTTGGAACAGAAAAAATAGAACCTGTAGTGCCAAATATCGCTGTTGTCAGAAGAAAACCTTTAAAATGACTTTACAGAAGGAAAAAACCTTCTTTATTTTTAATGTAAGTCAATGGAACCAGACTTTTTCCAAGTCATTTTGGACCAATTCTTTTGGTCCATTGTTCATGAAATTCACACACAATGTAAAGAGCGACACGCATTTTCAAATTATGTCAAAAACTGAAAAACTGAGAATGAGGATACGAGGTTTTCCTCCCACAGCAGCGTTATGAAACAATAATAAAGCTACAACTACAATGACTTTTATTTAATGTTTTACTAACTGCGCTGAACTAAATCCAATCAAACAGGCCTAATTATGCTCACTTGGTAATGAAACATGTATGAAGTGATATCCACGCTGTCATTCAGCTCCAGCCTCTCTAATTCACATGCTCTGGTTGTGTCCATCACTTTATAGTTATCGTCCTGAAATGTTTTCAATGATATCAGAGGTTTTGAATGTGCAATGCAAACCTAAAGCAGTTACAGCATTGTTTGGAATTCTCCAATCATAATTTATCATGATAACCATAAAATATAATAATATTGCCCACCCCTAATTGACATTAGTGAAGTGAGCCTACTATGAAGGCTCATAGTACGCCATAACATACTCCGGCCACACCTTTTGTACTGTTTGAGATTTGTTTTCACTAAAAAAACCCACACATGCTTTTTTGGCTGCTTTAAAAATGCCACTATTGTGCCGCCCAGATCAGCACTGTATTTTACGTAGCCTACATGGCTAGTACCCTTATGAAGGCTTGTCTTTGTTCATGCCCTTTCAAAAGCCAGCTCTGTGCTCCAAATTGTAATGCTTACAGTGTGTAGAGAGGAAGCTGGAAATAGCCAACACCCTGAATAGCTTCTACATTCTTCCCTTCTCCTATTAGTTTAATGAGATCAGCGCTCAAAGCTTGTTCTGGCATCATCCCAAACTCTGCAAACACAGAAAGCTGACAGAATGAAGTAGGATATGGAAACAATGGAAGTAGTACATTACGATACTTTCACTTCATTTTCGATACTTATCACGATATTTTAAAATACAGATAAAATGCACTAGTAGGCACATCTAAGAACTGCAGTCAAAAACTGAACACAGTGATTATTGTTCAACATTTCATACACTGCAGTGCATTAAACCCAAATAACAGGACTTATTTTTCTATTTTTGGTAAAATTCATTTGGTCAGTGCTCTTAATACAGGGTGATTCAAAAAGATTTATGATTTCAAACTGATTTATTTCTCTTGTAAATCATTACAGATCAGTGCAGTAAACTGTAAATGGTTTAAATGAGCATAAAGTTTATTATGTAATTGTACAAGGTCTCAGTATGAACCTCCTCCAGCTGTACAGACAACATCAACACCACAGTCAAACTCATCCCATACTGGATTGAGCATGTCGGGTGTGGCTGCACTCACGGCTCTTTCAGTGCGATTTCGGAGATCATCCAGTGTTGTGGAACCAACGACGAACGTTGGAGGTTCACTGACCACAAAAATCGTGCTGCACAGTTATGACTGATTCACTCTTATTGAAGTGGAGAACGCAGAACGCTTTCTGCTCAGGGGTCTCATCTCCTCTCAGACTGAAGGGAGCCAGTCAGAAACTCTATGACTGCCTCTTTCAGTTGGATTGTGATTGTTTCCTAGGCGCCTCACGGTTGTAAAAATATGGTGCTTTGAAATCAGATCGGTCTTTTTGAATCACCCTGTATACTCAGAAATGCACACTGTACATCATAATAACAGTAATTAACAGGATAGCGATAAAATATCACAGCGCCCACCCCAAAAGGGTGATGAATATGTAACAGTCTTTTCTCATTGGCGGTTCTAGATGTATCTAGCTTACTAGCAGAACACAGTGAAGCAATCTTAAAATAAACGTTCTCAGAATTGAAATTTCAGTTCTGTGTCCAGTGCATATGCCTCCCTGTTGTCAAACGCATACCATTAATGTCATTTTGTGTCTCTCCTGCTAGCGAAATATCCCCAGATAAAGTCTTTGATGGGTCCTGACCCCAGACTGAAATGGATCGTCTTTATGATGGTTGGAGTTCAGTTCCTCGCCTTCTACCTCGTTAAGGACTTAGAATGGAAATGGGTGCTGTTTTGGACGTACGTGTTTGGGAGCTGCATAAACCACTCCATGACGCTGGCCATTCACGAGATTTCCCACAACACTGCGTTCGGCAACAACCGCGCCAGGTGGAACCGCTGGTTCGCCATGTTCGCCAACCTCCCCATCGGCTTGCCGTACTCTGCCTCCTTCAAGCGCTACCACCTCGACCACCACCGATACTTGGGCGGCGATGGCGTGGATGTGGACATCCCCACCGACTTTGAAGGTTGGTTCTTCTGCACCCGCATCCGCAAGTTCTTTTGGATTATTCTGCAGCCTCTCTTCTACGCCATACGGCCTCTCTGCATCAACCCGAAGCCCATCAGCCAGTTGGAGCTGGCCAACGTGGCTATTCAGTTCACGTTCAATGCTTTCCTCTACTGGCTTTGGGGGGCCAAGCCCGTGGTCTACATGCTGGCGGGCTCGATGCTGGGAATGGGGCTTCACCCCATCTCTGGACACTTCATTGCTGAGCATTACATGTTCCTGAAGGGCCACGAGACCTATTCTTACTACGGATCGCTTAACCTGCTCACTTTCAACGTGGGATACCACAACGAACACCATGACTTCCCCAGCATCCCTGGAAGAAGGCTGCCTCTGGTAAGATGCACTTTTATTTGGGGGAATTTGCAGGATTTACTGTGTTATTTGGAGCTTAATAGTGATAATTATTATTTAATTACAATTAAATCTTTGTTGTGGTTAATACTGATACCAATAGCGTTACAGTTATATAGCCATGATATAGCTTAATCAGACTTGGCAATTATTGTACACATTTCCATTTACATATTTAGCATGCACTCTTACTCGAGCCGCCACGACAGGTAAATGTATTATGGTCCTGTCCATTTGAGTAAGTCTAAAATTGAGCGATACAGATACACTGTCCCAAATAAATGGTACTATACAGGTACATTTTTCATTCATTCAAGGTTCAAGCAATGTAAATATACCCTGAAATGTACAACAGTGGTCTTCAGGTCCAACTGTGCACCTTAAATAAGTTTTCCACAGTGAGAAAATCCATATTTCTATTTCTGTTTTTAAACAGAACAATAAAATAAAAAGACTGAAGTCAAGACCGAGTGTAATGGAGTTGCTGCATCTTAAAGGGGAACAACACTGATTTTTTTAAGAAGTCTAAATAATTTATTGGTTGAGATGTAAACAAAGTCACTCAGAGTGGTTTGGGGTGAAAGGCTCTGTTCTAGAGAAACTTACTAAGTCAGAATTGTTCACAGTGGTGATGATAGGAACCAGACGTCCACCTCTAAAATGTACTTTAATCCATTTATTTTGATCCATTCATGGTGGAGGGGTACATGCAGGGTCTAGTAAGGCAAAATGACCCCAGAGGAAAACGTGTGGGTTCACTGGTGGTTCTGGATAGTAAATAAAATGTCTATTTGTGTTGTAGTCATGGTGACCCCTGGTTTCTATCACCACCACTGTAAAGGCATCTGAACCATTTCACACCAAACCACTCTGAATCTCTCTGATTACATCTCAAACAAACTCGGTAATGCAGACATTTGGAAAAATTGGTGGAATTCCCCTTTAAAAACCCTTTTAAAAATAAACTGCAATGGAATACATTTATGTTTCCCTACTGAAGACGTACCCTTGCAGGTTCCACTCCAGTGAGAGTTTATTACCTTTTTTCCTGACTGTAGATTCGATGCAATTATCGGTTGTAATTATTGACTAATAACACTCTTACGGCCAATAATAAAAAAACATTGTCCCATTTAATAAATCAGCTGCTGTTATATACTGCAGGTCTAGTTAATCTGTGTAATTAGTAACAGGTGCAGATCTTCAGATGTTTGTTCACTCTAGTGTCAATGAGTAAATGTCAGACCATGTGAAGAGGACTTTGACCATTGACTCTTAGTCAGCACCTTTTAATGGAAAGCTGTAAATCATTTGGGAAAAGTTAGAGAATATTTTGGCAGTGGTTTTAAAGAGAAATAACTTCTCTTAGCCAGTTTTCCCCATATCTAACTCTGGAGGCCCACCTGCACTGCAGTTTTTTGTGTTTACTTAAGCATCCAAGATGGTTTTATGTAAAAAAAAGTATACATAAATACACTATACTGTGATATATACCAAAACCGTCAGGAATCTTAATGATACCATGATATCCATTTTTGCCCATGTCGCCCACGACTAGTAATGTGCTCGATTTTGGTCTGTTTTTGACTTGGAATTAAGTAGCCATGAATAGAATATCTAAAACTTTAATTCGCGTCCAAAGTGGCAGTGACCACAGAGGAGCCGCTTGGTCTTAGGAGGAAAGAGAATGAATGAACAGAAAAGCTTCAGTGAACCTCCCCTTTAAATCTCTGCCAGTGTTGGCTGTACTTTACTGCTAAAGAAACAAGCCCACTAACCACTAGAAACAAAACCGAACGTGATGAGGTTGATGGACAAAAGGGGCAGGTTGTGTCCTGACCTGATCGAACCAAGCATCCAAATAACTGGCACAGGAAGTAAAGATTAATAAAGACAAAACTGGAAAACCTCAAGCAGAAATAGGCAGAACTGAACAAGTAAAGTCACAGTACTTTAAGTCATTTCACAGTACATCTGTTTTCCTGGAGTTGGTTGGACGCACAGTGCAGCAGTAGTGCCACATTTAAAAATAGTGTTTATTGAGACACATCATTGGCTTTAGCTTGAGCTGTCTGTTGTCCATTGGGAGCTACTGAGGGTCAACAGCAAGATCCCAAAAGCATCGTAGGCTTTGTTCACACAGCAGGTAAAAGTGGCCCAAATCTGATCTTTTTCTCCATAAGTGGCACAGATGTGTGTCAGTGTGAACAGATAAACACACTGAGTCTGATATTTGATATACTGAATTCCAATTTGAGAAGCTTTCATATGTGGTACTGAAGTCCGATCCGTATCCGATCTGCAGCAGTGCAACTCAGTCTGAACAGCCAGATCAGAATTCATGCGACTTGAACGTCAATCCAATTCGATATTCCTCATAATTTCATGCTGCTGAGACTCAAACATTTGGGCTGATGTTTCCGTACAAAAATTATTAGAGACTCATCAAACTCCTCCGTGTTCGAAGAGATTTCTTAAGAGATGTCTGAACGCGGCCGCAGGAGAACGAGGCTGCAGCGTCAAAGACCAGTTAAAAGTCTGAAAGCAGAGTTTAAAGAATCCGAGGACGCGACCCAAAGAAGTGACCGTGCCCTTTTTACGGCTCCAACACATTCTGGGTGATGAGCCCAGCTGTCAGTCAGTGAAGCTTCATGGTGGCTCCTGTGATGCTGGTGAAGATGAAGCTGATCCTCCGGGAGCGACTGGCGTTCGCTGGCGGTCGTGATTGTTTACCTCTGGATGAGCCGTGAAGCAGCGTGACGCTCTGTTCTTTTGGTCAGTTTAGGAGCTGACCTGTTCAGACTGATCTCTCATACAGATCACATTTAAAAGACAATCTGAACAGCCAAACAAAAACATCAGATTTGGTGAGAAAATCAGATTTGGGCCACTTTTACCTGTTGTGTGAACGCAGCCATCGTGTTGATACCATCTGAACCAGGGGTGAAACAGTGTTCAGTGTGGTGCTCGCTCGACCATTTAAGAATCCTCTTTGTGCTGAGATGCTTTTGGGAAACCCAGCCCTGCTAACTCGGCCGCTTTAGAGGACCTGAGCCACTGAATCTCCTTTTAATGAGACGTACGTTGGTCAGGAGATCCGTCATGAAAAGCTCTTCACAGTTTACTGTGATACCGATAGCATGCCGTCACATTTTCCACCCCATCATGCTTTTAATTTCTACCCTCCTACATCTTTTGCAATTTGAATTTCTCATTTGTAAAGGACTTTAAACGACCCCTGACCTCTTCTCTTCTCAAACAGGTGAAGAAAATAGCGCCGGAGTATTACGACGACCTGCCCTGCTACACGTCGTGGGTGAAGGTTCTGTATGACTTCATCATGGACGATGAGCTGAGCCCGTACTCTCGGGTGAAGAGGAAGCTGAAGGGAGAGGTCAAGCTGGAGTGAGCTGCTCCACCTGCTCAGTGGCGTCCAGACGGAGCTTCACTGACCAAAACCGGAGGCCACTGTTGCTCACCATTCTCACCGCTAACCGCTTCAGCAGAGTAATGCCGTTCGACAGCATGTCGTGTGAGAGTGAAGAGACTGTGTGTGTTATATTTGTGTGTGTGTGTGTGTGTGTGTGTGTGTGTGTGTGTGTGTGTGTGTGTGTGTGCTTTTGAGAGAGCGAATGGTCATTTTAGTCACAAGCCATTTCAAGACTTAAGTTCTAACTCAGTTGCAGAAAGAAAACGGAATCATTTCTCCTCGTTTTTCCGCACATCGTACCCAGACCGCCTATAGTCTAATCCTCATTTTAGGTCCTCATTTTGTAGCACATTAATTCGGCACCTTTTCCATCTAGTGTTTTCTTTGTACCAAAAACATTTAAAAGCTTTCTTTATATATCAGCATTGTCCATTAAAAATCTCCAAAACACCAACTTTACAGGAGAGCACGAAAAATTTGATATAAAGCAGTTTTATTCCAGGTAATTTTGGAGTGTTTCTGTTGGCCCATTAATCACAAAGACAGACGATGTGCTCAGGTAGAAAAATAAAAATCGACAAAAATGGACATCCTTTTTGTTTGTTTGTTTGTTTTTATTGGACAGTGATGCTATATATGAAGAAGTAATAATATGCCCAGTGTAATTCAAAAATCTTCAAGACTTCCGTCTTCAGGTGACCCAGACGCATTTGTTTGGAAGGTGACTCACTCAGCCTGAACTGTCTGACTTTTACCCAACAAGTGTCAGTTCATCCTCATACCTCTGCTTATCACTGTATCTACTGTTTAAGAGGTTTCCCTGTTTTTTTTTTGTTTTTTTTTTCCCTCTGTGTCACTACTGTACAGAGTGTGCACTCAAGGTGTGGACCCGCACGCTTCAAGTTGTTTGAACTAACTTATCACTCATGTTTATCAGTAAAAGGGGTAGCAGGAACATTCAGACCTCACACGAACTTGCTGGCTGAAAACAGGTATGTATTGTGTTCAAGCGCAGATGAAGCTGCACTTGCATAAAGGGTCACCTTCCCAGACTGGGATTAAGCCTAGTCCTACTACATGGCTTGCCATTAAAGCAGGATCCCACCTTTACTTTCCAAAATGTTTGTGTAATTCAGACATTAATATGTAATCAGAGAGATTCAGAGTGGTTTGGTGTGAAATGGTTCAGATGTCTTTACAGTGGTGGTGATAGGAACCAGGGGTCGCCATGACTACAACACAAATATAGACATTTTATTTACTATTCAGAACCACCAGTGAACCTACACGAGTCTTCTGAGCTTATATGAATGTTGATGATGGAAAATAGTGGAAAATCTGAAATAATACATTTTCTTTGGGGACTATTTTGCCTCACAGCTCCCTGCATATCATGTATCCCTCTGACATGAATGGATTAAAAGCCCAAAAACATCCTAAAACTATCATAAAACAGTGTCTCAGACATCAGGCAGTGAATTCAGAACCATGTAGTAACTTTCAGTGAGGGAGTTTTTAGAGGTGGACGTCTGGTTCCTATCACCACCACTGTGAACAACTCTGACTCTAGAACAGAGTTTTTCGCATCAAACCACCCTCAATGACTCTTTACATAAGAACTGTTTAGTTATGGAGAAATTTTGGTGGAACTCCCTTGTACGAGGTTGGAGAAACGTTACTACTTACATGGCATAGTAGCTTTGTGTTGGGTATTTATAACTAACATTTATAAATGTAAATTTGTAAATGTAAAATGTAGATTTTTGCTGTTGGAACTTTTATTGCACAGTATCGTCAACAATAATCAAGAGTGTTAGATGAATCAACCATGAATTAAAATGGCTTTTTAGATTGAGGATCATACCTTTAGGCAACGTCTACCACTTTCCTGCCAGAATATTGAACAAGTTTGCTAATAATAATAATAATAATAATAATAGTTCACTGTTTTTAGGTTTAGATGCCATCAATGAGTTCTTAACATTGCTGGTGTCAACTCAAGCCTGTTCTCTCACTAATCGTTGAACACAGATTACAGTCACTGTAATTTTGTTGGGTGTGGTTATCAAGTCATAGTTTTATTTTTGGTTTTGACAAAAGGTGGATTAGAATATCAAGCATAGTGTTCAGGTCAGGTGGGCAGATGGCAGCCAGAATTAGTTAGAAATGTAAATGCGTCTCACGGGGTAAACACGAGGATGTTTGCTCATGCTGGGCTTTGACATTTATGGCGCATTTATCTACTATGAAATGGTTTAAAATTCCATATATTTCTTGAATATAACTAAATGGTAAACACTTATTCTGCAGCATGTCTTTACTATTAAACACAGGTCTGAACATCTGAAGCCATGTCGACAGGGGCTTCAAAGTCGGAGACGATATCTTTTCCTCTGCGTCCTTAACATTTGCAAAACAGCCAGACCGAAGCCCAGCCCACCCTTTTAAGGTGCTTTATCTCCAGTAAAGCTCGGTCAAAGATGTCAAACTGATTAAGCTAGTTATCTGGAACATGTGAAACCACCGTGTTGAAACAAAGGCATGTTGATTTTGGAAGGTGAACTGCACTGCCTTCAGTGTACGCTGAGCACAGCTGTGTACGGTGTTGCTGGAGAAATGTATTTCCTGTATCAGTATTAAAACCAGCAAAGGACAAAGCCCTTGCTGGAAAGGACCTTTCAGTCCTTCTAACATCTTAATGTGGGCTGATGGCTCTGCTTAACTGATTCCATTCCTGTTCTGCCTTTATGCTTTTTCTGTATTGAAATGATTTTATTAAACCATTTCAGACTAAAATAAGTGTTTGTCTTTCTTGCTGTGAAATGATTTCAGAGGGTAAATAGGAGAATGTCAGACGTTTTAGTTTGGATAAGCAGCAGATGAGAGCAGGGTAAGATGTAACATGGGTATTTTATTTCCAAAAAAGTTGGGACGCTGTGCAAACTGTAAATAAAAATGCAATGATGTGCAAATCATTTAAACCCTATATTTCATTGAAAATAGTTCAAAGACAACATATCAAACGTTAAATCTGAGGAATTTTATTGTTTATTGAAAAATATTTGCGTTATACTTGAACTGTTGCACTATTTGATGGTGCAGTCTTTCACAGAGTGGTGAACCCCTCCTCATCTTTACTTCTGAAAGACTCCGCCTCTCTGAGATGCTCTTTATACCCAATCATGTTACTGACCGGTTGCCAATCAACCATCAACTTTTTTGGAACGTGTTGGCATCAAATTCAAAATGGGCAAATATTTTACAAAAAACAATCAAATTTATCAGTTTATCAGTTAAACAGGTTCAAGTAGAGCATGATTTTGGTCATCTTGTATTCTCACAGCAAACTCACCTGCCAATTTTGACAGGAATCGAATAGACATTTCTCAAGATTTAGCTTATTTATTTGTTTAAAAAAAACAAATAGCTTTTCTTTCATGATAAATGTTTATAAGTTACCAAGTTCTGCATATAAATCACGTTTATTATTATTTGCCTTCTTGATGGCTGTAATGTGATGCTATTTTAAAGCCTGTAAACAATCCAGTGAGACCTAAAGAACAGGCGGAACTGTTGCTGAAGATGGGCTTAGTTGTAACCATGTTAGATCCCTAAAGTAAATTATATAATATAAATTTAAACAGGACTCACTTTTTTGGGAAGTTTTTATGTGAGGATTCATCAACAATGTACTATAGATTTATATAATTAATCAAAAATAAGCCTGCCATGTTTGACGCTCTCTTCCTTAATTGTTCGTATTTTGATTCATATATTTTTACATTTTTAGGTTGGAAAGCTTGAAAGAACTATTGAATTAGCAGACTTTTTAGCAACTGTTAAAACTCTCCATCTGTTACTATTAACCCCCTGCTATGGGCCAAGTTATAACATTTGCGCTCCACTTTTGGCTCAATTGGTCATAAACGTTAGCTGCTAAAAAGAGTTTATGTCTTCATTTGCAGCAGAGGTGCGAAGGCCGCTTGTATAAAAATTGATTATTCTCACTCACAACACTTTCTAAATTATTAAATTAAAAAACAGTGTGTTCAGTTGTGCTCTGCTCATATATGTGTGGTGATTCCAGGCTGTTATCCAGGTAGCTTTAGATTAAATGTTAGTGAAAAGTATTTATTAATTATTTATTATTATCAGAACATACAAAAGAAGTTATTATAGCACTTTGACCCAATTTTTTTTTTTATTATTTCTGCATGGCCCTCATGTAATGAGGTCACTATTATATTACGTCCATTGTTACAAATCAGAGTAAAAAAAAAAACAAAAAAAAAAGTTGCCATCCAAACCAGTAGAGTACCTGCGCGTCCGCTTGATTCCCAGGCATCCCAATCTCGGCTATCTGGTGAGAGATTCCCGCAGTTTCTCATACATTAGCTGGTCCTGAATGGAACAAAGCAAAATCAAAACAAACTCATCAACTCTTTCGTTTCTCTTGTGTTCAAATGCCACACAAGGAAGACAACAGCCAGTTCCTTTCACTGTCTTCAGGGGCACCAAATACCCAGAGGGCCTGATTCAGTGTCACTGCTTTTTCAACAGAGGCTCAGAAACGACATCCAATGCCTGCGGACTTCACTGCAGTCGGCCCCACAGATTAAACACAGGTGACCTGGCGAAGCTGCGGTTTTAGGGCCCGACCACAGACCGAGTCAGCCTGATTTTACACCAGCAAAGCAAACACGAGGTGAAATAGCAGCTAGATAAAAATAACCTCAGTCAATCTACGGCGCTCCTGCAGGACGCAGAGCAGCGTGGGAAATGCTGCCAAGAGAAACTCCTAGCAACCTAAGCTCCCCACGACTGGAAGGACTGGTTCAGCTGGCAGCTGACAAACATGAGTTTACAAAAACAGCTCTGGGGTGCGCTTCACATGTGCCTAATTACATCTCACAGGGCCATGGAATTTGCAGTTAAGAGGACGCTGGGGAGAAATTACAGCTCCCGAGGTGCCGCCGGGGATGAAGATGCATGTAATGGTGGATATACACGTACACTTACCGTTCAAAAGTTTGGAATCGATTCTATTTGTGTATCATACTGATACTGTCTGAATAAAACCCCCCCAAAAAAGTACTGAAAAAATATTCCTAAGTTTGAATGGAAGTTGATGTAAAAACATGCTATTCTAAGTCATTTTGGACGGGTTCTGTTCTGATTTCTCGAAAAACAGCTAATATTTTTAAATGATGTCAAAAATGGAACAAATTGGAGATCCAAGGATTTGTTCTGACAGCAACAATGAGCTGTTTGTGTGTAATATCATTAAATATGCTGGGAAACGACTTAATTCTAAGGTTAAGCCTTTCTGTGCAAGATTATTGATAAAAGTGTGCCCTTAATTTAATTTTCAGCACTGTATTAATGCTAACAACCATAGTTTACATCCACTTTTCGAAATAAACTAACTCTTTCACTCCAACAGCTGAAGCTGCATGAACATTTGCATGAACACCGTCGTTGAATAATATAAAACCATTTTAGCTGAATGTCGCTGCTGGAAGAAAACCTTGTATCTCCAAAATGGTGAATTCACAGGAGAAGGAAAAAACGTACTCTACTTTTAATGCAAGTCAATGGAACCAGAATGTTTTCCATGTCATTTTGGGTCGTTTCTTTTGGTCCATTCATCATGAAATTTGCACACACTGTAAAGAGCAACAGGCATTTTCAAATGATGTCAAAAACCGAAAAATGTCAAAAATGGAGATACGAGGTTTTCTTCCAACAACAGCGACATGCAGGTCTTAGGCTCCGAAGCACATTGTTTAAAACCATTTATCTGGACATCAAGTGTGTTTTTGCTTGTAAAAACTGCATATATCATTAGAATAAATGCAGATAAACACAAATACAGTAAGAAGTAACAGGAATTTTTTGTGCTAAAAATTTATCTCGAGAGATGAAGAACACACTTTGGTTCCAGATTTCTTCTGAATGCCCCCAGCGTTCGCATGGATTTGTGAAATTCATCACTGAAGTATCAGTGAGCCAAACCAGGTTTCAGGTTGCTCACTGTCCAGATAAATAGCTCTTAAAGTCTTTTTAAATTTTTTTTTACCTTTTTTCATGGCTCTAAAGCTTTCGCTCAGTACTGCACATGTATCAAATGACTCAGAGATGCTGCTACATGGGTTTCAAATCTGTACAGCTCTTGAGAATTTAGTTACAGTAAAACGAATAATCTGACACAAAGTGGTGATCATATCTCAAGGCAGAAAACTTAAAATGATAAACAAGTATGATATAATTTTTTTATTTAACCCTTGTGTGGTGTTGATGTGTTTGTTACTCAGTGGTCTGCTGGACCCACCACATTATTGTTTATTTAAATCAATACAGCCATAACAATTTATGTAAAAACACCAGATGTTTAAAATATCACAAGTGTCCAGTGTAGGGTTCTGCTTTAGCAGCTGTAGCCAGTCAGCAGCCTGTCCATGTTGTCCACCCTCACACACACACACACACACACACACACACTAACAGCAGGCCATGTAGGAGGATAACAGAGTGAAGGACACAGCACCTCCACACTTTTACTCCCCGCAGGTTCACCCAACACCACATGTGTAATATAAATGTGTGGGGGGTGAACAGAGTGAAGACACTGAAAATGGGTTATTTTATATGTTCTTCACAGAAAATGACCAAAGACCAAGAAATCTGAGGATGAAATAATAATAAATCGTGTCATTTTGTCTTTTGGTAAACACTGAAAATGGGTCCCACAGACCTGAACACCACACAAGGGTTAATAACCTTGTTGATTCCAAGTTTTACTGACTGTATTTCAATCTGCAGAGTCTCGTAAGCCGTGCGTAAAATAACAAAATATATTTTTATAACAAATGACTGCAAACTTTTGACCAGTAACATATGAAGGATTAAAAAAATACCAGCAATACTTTAACTGCTGCCTCAAAACTTCCCCTTCAGCAAATCTGTGTAACCTGATTCTGCTTTGGAGCAGAAGTTCTGCTTGTTTTCAGATTTGTTATCTCTCACTGAACCGAAGAGAAACAGAAACCTACACGGATGTTTAAAAGGTCTCTATCAGAGTTGCCATGAAAACGTACTACTTTGTTCCTAATTCTGGTGTGGAGAACCACTGTCCTAGATACTTCAGCATTTTCCCTGCTCTAATGCTGCATTCATGACAAAAAGTGGGAAGAAAATCCATTTGAACCTCCCTCCAACTCAGAAAGTCAGGAGTTACTCAAGAGCTTCTCCGAGCTGCTATTCCATTACATTGCTTTTAATTGAATTCAGAACCATTAGCCAACTGTGTTTCGCACACAGAGGAATTAGACCTCCACATTTGACCCATCCGTGCAGTGAAACACCCACATACACACTAGTGAACACACACACTAGGGGCCAGTGAGCACACTTGCCCAGAGCGGTTGGCAGCCCTATCCAAGGCGCCCGGGGAGCAGTTGGGGGTTAGGTGCCTTGCTCAAAGGCACCTTGGTCACAGACTGTCGGCCAAGGGGATTGAACCGGCGACCTTCCGGTCACAAGGCTGGTTCCCTAACCTCCAGCCCACGATTAACATGGCAGAGCCACTAGAACAAGGAGTGATAGCTTGTTTTAAAGTTTTTAAACAGATTTTTGGGATTTCTGTTTGTGTATCATACTGATACTGTCTGAATAAAACCTCCAAAAAAAGTACTGAAAAAATATTCCTAACTTTGAATGGAAGTTGATGTAACAACATGCTATTCTAGGTCATTTTGGACGGTTTCTGTTTGTTAGTTCGCCATGTGATTTCTCGAAAAACAGCTAATATTTTCAAATGATGTCAAAAATGGAATAAATTGGAGATCCAAGGATTTGTTCTGACAGCAACAATGAGCAGTCTGTAAGCTGTTAGTGATATCGCTAAATATGCCAGGAAACTTGGATAATTGTAAGGTTAAGCCATTCTGTGCAAGATTATTGATCAAAGTGTGCACTTTAATTTAATTTTCAGCACTGTATTAATGCTAACAACCATAGTTTACATCCACTTTTCAACATAAATCAACTCTTTCACTCCAACAGCTGAAGCTGCATGAACATTTGAGCTCCCAGCTGTCATGAAAGCAGCATAACACACCCAGTTCAACTCAGGACAGGCCTGTTAATTAGCTAATGAGTTGAATCAGGTGTGAATCAGGGAAACTGTGCAGGGCAGTGGGAACTCCAGTTCAGAGCTGAGAAATTCTAAGCTACTTGCTTTCAGAGAATACGTATAGCTTGAAAAAGACATTTTGTCTCTTCGCTGTTAACTGCCGCTCACCTTTTTGGACACGGACGGCCGTACTTTCTTGAAGGCCTCTTCGAAATTCTGCCTGCTGACCTTTATGTCTTTAACAGAGCCAGAGGAGAATGTGTGCTCTGTGTCAAAGAAACGGCATCATAAAGTGAGTAATGTAAGTAAAACCATTTTCTGCAAGTAATATGATATGATTCAGTGACAGGCTGTGGTGTGGTGCGTTTACCTGTGTGTGTGAGAGAGGTCTGAGAGCAGAGGTGAGCCTTTAAAGCGTTAACTGAAGCCTCTCTCACCAGTGCAGACAGGTCAGCCCCACTACACAAATGCACAGACAGTATGAGAAATATATACAGATTTTCATACTAAAATGGAAGCACTTTATCAATTAATGAAACCTTAATAGCTGCAGTAAATTCCATGTACAAAGCTCTTGCTAGGTTTCCATCCATGCATTTTTTTGACATATTAAATAAAACGAGACTTGACGGAAGCAGAAAATATAGAATAAAATAGTCATACTTTACATAAAAGGAGGGTATTTTTGTGCTGTTGGAATGAAATGTGATTAAACTAACATTTGCTGAATAAATAATATAAACACAAATCAAAAAGTCATGATAAACCGTATCTTTATCAAAGAAAACACACAAAATAACACAAATAATAAGTGTATTAGACAGTAAACAGACAAGACGCTCGAACAGACCTCGAGACGTTATATCGGCTGCTACATTTAGTCTCCATGCTCTTATATGTAAATATAGCCATGACATTAACGTCTGCAGTGCCCCCTTGTGGCCATTTCACGGGTGGAACGGAAATCAACATGAATATTTTTAATTAATATAACCAAATTAAATATTTGATAACTGGGACACTGTTGTCTCTGTGTGTGTGAAATGTTGTTGAGCTGCTAGTGAGCAATGAGAGGTGAAAGGGGAGGAGTGAGAACCCCCTGCTGTGTAAACTATTCACAAAGACGGCACTTAGAAATGTGGACTTGCTTGCTAATCATGCATTTCCATCATACAAATATATTCTATCAATGTTACTGCTGCTCAAAATGAAAGATTTCTCTATAAACATGCTTTTTTATGTTTTTTTATGAACATTTATATCATTAACTACCTAACCCAGTGGTAGCACTGATGTATGTGACATATTTCTTTAGTCTTTCAAACTCTTGTAACTAATGTTCAACAGTTAAATTCCACAAGACCTTGTAATACTCACGTAAAGCAGTCACACCGTTCGTCATGGGCAATTGCCTCCAAACTCACATCTGACTCCAGACGAGGCTTAGTACCTCCCTGCGGCAATTCCAGAACTTATTTGCATGTTTCTTGCAATTTGATTCATGCAAACACATCTGCAGCTTACTTGTAATTCAGGTTACAGTCTGTGGTGTACCAGTGTATTTCTACAGCCTGTGTGTTGACTGAATGAGTCACATGGGTGGCCAGGATGTGCCACTCACCTTAGTAATGGTGACCAAGATGGCGTGCCTGTCTGCTGGTGGAGGCAAACCCACATACAGGGTTTTGTCCAGACGGCCTGGTCTGAGCACGGCAGGGTCGATGATATCTGCATTCGAACACAATTTTAGAGAACACAGAAAAACAGTTTGGCAAAAAAATATAGATTTATTATTAAATTTACAGACTTCCAAATGTAGTCGATCAGCCAAGGCAGGCTGTCCGAGGTCTGCTTCTTTATGCCGCGTTTTAACTAAGACAGTGTTCTGTGCCTCATAGGCGGCGACATGCAGCCACGAAAACACTGTCGTAGTGACAGCGTCACCGGCAGAAGTAGATAATCATCAGACGAGAACTTTAGCGTTATCGATTGTTTATTTACGGCTGAAAAAGTCAGGAGGTGCTCTGTACTCTTTTCCTTTTTTTGTTGTACAACAAAATAAGTTGGGGCGGTCAACATCGCTGCTGGACTGCATTCAGTACCATTACAGAGCAGCAGTTTAAGAAAGATACTGTCCAGAATTACACTATTTCAGGAATATCACACTCAGAAAGTGGGATAGGATTATATAACGGAGGGAACGCAGCGATCCACACTCATGTCTGTGTGGTGTTTGTGTCGATATGGCCGTGTGGTTGGTGAAGCACAGAGAACCTGTTGATGTGATTGTTTTTCCTCTGGTTTTATATTAAGCTTATTTCATTTAATAGTCTATTCAGGATCTTTACTCTATGTAGTAGTTATTTATTTACAATGATGGTTAAAGCTTTGTAGCTGGGCAGTTGTAGCATTCCTTAATCGGTGGATCCACCTTAAATGGTTTAACAGCCAGCTTTCTTGTTTGAATTTCCCCATTCCACCTTAAATGGTGCAGCTTCAGGCACCAGAATGTAACCGCTGCATCATTTAAGGTGGAACGGGAAAACTCAAACAAGAATCTGGCGAATAGGAAGCCAACTTTAGCTTCGTCCTTCTAACTGTGGTTTGGGGGGGTTTATTTTATTTTTATGTGTATTAAGATTAGAAGTGATTCACACATTGATGATTTGCTGATGTGTCTGATTGTGTTTCTCATGCTAAACTCGGTTTTTAACGTCAGGTGCAGACTGAATACTTTCATGCTGATCCAGACGGATAATTAACGATCAGTTATTAAAGTGATAAAAGCTACCGAGAGCAGATCCGTGCAGAGTGGATTAATCTGTGTCTGAGGATTATAACTAAACAGATTTGGTGAAAATCGGTTGAGTAATAAGGAAGTTGTGGCTGATTTAATCCTGAGACTCTTCGTCTCTCAATACAAGTGAATTTGTTCATAAGCGGATCTTGACCTCTCCAACATGGTGGACACGCAGATGTACCACCTCAGATAGAGAACAACAGACAACGCGGAATCTCGGTATGGATATCTATGTATAACACAGGGTGCGTCTGGACTTCAACAACGAGATGTTCTGTGTCTCAAAAAATCAACATCTGGTTTATTCCATCACCATGGTTGAAGGCAAAAGCTGGAAAAACTGAACTCTTGCCAGAACGTTCCGCTGAACACTGCAGTACGCTGCCATCGCCACTGGTGGCAGCAGAATCTTCCATCTCTGTACTACTGAGAACAACTGAATATCCGTTTTGCCTTCAGCCACCTAGTGGCAACGTGTAAACGCAGCATTAATTTATGGATTAGAACTATGAGGCTCAAACAGCTACAAATAATAATGGATGTTTACCCTCCATTTAGCACTGTTATAACTCCATGCCTAATTCATAAAACACTTGTCTTGACTTGCCTCAAGTTGTTAAGTAATCTCACGTAGACTTGATTTATGTTGTTTCTAAAACTGTATGACAATGTTATCTATAATGGACACAGGTTTACTGTATAGCTAAAAGCAGTCACAGTAGCCACTCTGAAGCCTGAATTTTGACCATTTTGTCCATTTTAATAGACAACAGTGTGGCATACAGCCTTGTCAGCACATCTCTTTATGTGGTTTCTCTAACTGTATGGCACCCTGTTATCTATAAACACAGACTTCAGTTTCCTGTGTAGCTAAAAGCAATAGTAGTAGCCACCCTGAGGCCTGAATTGTGACCATTTTTGTCCATTTTAATAGACAACAGCGTGGCATTTAGCAACGTTAGCTCTAGTGAAAAACTAAAGAATCAAACTTCAGACACCAAACATGTCTTGGCTGGCTTTATTTTGGAGTGAGGCGAAAACTGAGCAAATCTGACTTTTCACCACCCTATTCTTCTAAATGTGCCCAATACAGGGTTGCACAACTCTGATCCATGAGGGCTGGTGTCCAGCACTGATTGGTAGCTTCCCTACTCAAAATACACCCACTAATCCTGGCAATTAACATATGAGTTGACTCGGGTGTTTGAGCAGGTGAATCACCAAACTGTGCTGGACACCCGCCCTCCAGGACTGGAGTTCTGCACTCCTGCTCTAATAGTTCTGAGGTGGTTTTACCTGGCCGGTTGGTAGCGGCCATGATGAACACCTGGCGGCGTGTCTCCAGGCCATCCATTTCCGTCAGCAGCTGGTTGACCACACGGACGCTGGCTCCAGACTGACCATGCAGCGCGACAAAGCAAACAGAGTGACAGCATGTTTATTTACAGACATAAGTGCACATTAGTTGTGATCTTAAATAACGGTTTGGCACAAAAATCTAACTTCTACAATTTTCTTCTTATCTAAAACACAGTTGAACAGACAAGGCATGTCTGCTCCATTAGTTCTGCACTGGAGCTTAAAGGCTAATTTACCTAAAATGTACTAAAAGACTGTCAACTAAAATCTTTTTCACCTACTAAAGAAGCACACTTTGCACACTAAACATGTCCTGGCTGACTGACCACATATGAAGAGAAAATTATGTAAATTTGATTTTTTTTTTGCCAAACTGTTCCTTTGAAAGATGCACAGTCAGTAATCACTACTACCATCCTACCCATCATTTATTGTTAAACTTATGTTTCAGTCCCACAGCTTCTTCTTGTACTCTTTAACTGCATGACTTCTATTCTGAAAAACAAGATGGAGGACTTTAATGTCTTGCTAGTAAATGGAGGATGGCCTCCAAATTGGAGCCTGGCTACATTTTTTAATCCATCAAGAGATCATGGTGGGTTTTTTGTGGATATATAGGTCCTCTGGCATTTTTTCTTCCCTCAAAATCCTGAAATCAGGCAAAAAATATTGCTAAGTAAGCTCTATTTTGAGAGAAATCTAAGATTGAGATTATTTGATAGAAAACAGTCCTGTGGAATTTCCTTTCTTCCCTTAAAATCCTGAAACTTGCTAAGTTAGCTCCATTTTGGTTGTTTAGTAATTCTTCGTCCGAGACATACTGTAGCTTGATTGACCGATCGATTGGTTCAGTTATTTGAGCGAAAACAGGCTTTACTGATGCACTACTGTGCATCGATTACAGTTAGGTTGTTTAAGAGATGCCGTTCTTGGGTTCAGGTGTGTAAGTGGTTGTTGGTGTAGGCTGGGTTTAAGACTCAAACCCAAGTTTAGAACCACTACGTTACTGACACTTTTCTTACACCGGTTTGGTAGAAAACTCTCAGGGACTCTTCAGTGAAGGCCTAATGATTTCATTGTTAAGAACTGGTTGGAAGCCAAAGGATTACATTTTTTAAAATGGCCCACAGAAAATTACCCATTCAGGATTTTTTCCCCATGTTATGTAGGTAGATAAAGCCAAGTGAGCTCTTCCATTGCTTAGGCCTTCAGGAGCTGAACTGAAGGCCTCGCGTCTTAGATCGACTAACAACATAATTAGGAAGTGACAGTGGAATTGTTTCGATTTACAAATTACTGGACCAATTTTTAAACGTAAAAATGTCATTTTAGGTCTATTGGAAGTTCTAGATACGGCACTAATAGTTTAGAAGTCCAACCACGGGTAGCCATGTTCAACTTGGACACGGCTCCATAGAAAATGCAACCACAGTTAACTCGGTTTATAACAGCGGTTAACACCTTCTCTGTTAGCACAGGTTTGGGTACTCAAGCTCCGATAATCCTCACACGGTGCACATGAAAGCAGGACATCTGTGACAAACTGAGTTTGAGTTGATTGTCTTGACTAAAACAACAGTGAGTGCGTTTACAGGCACTTAATCCGATTATAATCAGATTTCTGCAGTTATCTGATTATTCGAATGGTCGTGTAAACAGCACACTGATTTCTTAGATCGGAGTAAGGTCTAGAAATCTGATTAAGAGGCTGGAGTTGAGCTCAATAATCAGATTTCTCAGTGCATGTAAACTCTTGCTCTGATTTCTTTCTGATTTCTCAGTCTGAGTATGTGTGAAAACAGATGGTGGTACTGGAAATGAGCGAGCAGTGTTGCTGCAAGACGCAACAAAACACTTTTGGAGTGACGCTGAAACCAAATACATGCTTGGCTAAGTGATGGATTTAAATATTCTTCATCTTCTAGATGATGTATGTTCATATTTTCAGGTAAAGTGGTGTTAAATTGATTAAAAAAAAAAAAGCTGCGGCATCAAGTTTGTGTTTTACATTATGTTTACATCACGTTGTCTTCTGAGTTTATTGGCTGGTTGTAATGCAGAAATCTGATTACTGCCTGACTCAAGTAGACCTGGAGTTTTACATTATCTGATTACTCAAGTGCATGTAAACGTGTTGACTGGATTACTGACAAAATCTAAAATTTTCTGCAGTTATCAGATTATTAGGTGCATGTAAACACACTCAGTGTGTGTTTGGTTATTCTGCATGTCAGTTAAACAGCCCTTTCCTGTCGACGTCTGCGGCTCTGTGCTGTGTACAGTGATGAAATGCACCAGACTCTCCGACGATAGGCAAAAGCCTGGCCTGCGAGACTAGGGCTCTCTGGAACGTTCTTCTCCTGTTACCACTTGTCCAATTGGATTGTCAGTTCGTATTTAAGCAAATAGAACACCAGTGGGAATGTATTATCATGAACGAGATCATGGGTGTGACTTTGCGGAAGATCACCACCTCCTTGATATGATCTGTGATAATACATGACCTGCACTATTCTATTGCTTTAGAAGAAGACAAAGTAAAGAAGCTCAACGGTTGTTTGAGATATGTATGTAATCTAAATAATAGCAACTTCTTTTTCTAAAAAAAGTAATCCCAGCTCCTTAAAGCAACCACTGCTGTTGGTAATCGGAATGACACACATCTGCTGGATGAAAAACGTGCTGTTATCAGATGGTGAGGCCGGAATGAACTGTTGTATAATCTGGAGCTGTATAAAACTGCCTGCCAACACAAGACTGCTGGTATCTGCTGAAGAACTATGGGTCAATGTGCTGTATAGACTTTAGATGATGAGCAGGTGGAAGATTTTGAAATTCTTCCAGGTATTACCTCATGACCAGAGCGTCTGGGGCAAAGGGCATCGATCTCGTCGAAAAAGATGACACAGGGGGCAGAGTTCCTTCCCCTTTGGAACACCTGGCGTACGGCCCGCTCGCTCTCGCCAACGTACTGCAGGATAACATACAGCTTATTTAATGACGTGGTCCATCTTGATCGCTAAGGTGATAAAAATCATAAGAACCCTGCCTTCTTCAGAAACGACATACTGCCTATATACTGTACATATAGACTTTGGATTCATACCACCCTGAACAAGGAAACAAGTCAGATGTGGGGCTGAAAGAATAATTTTTATATCACAATAAACACAGTGAAATCGCAAGTTTACTTATAATTGTATATCCTACATCATTCACAGTAGTTTTAGGTTTTAAATGGAGAAGTTTAACCCAATAATGCGGAGCTTGAACTAGCATTCTGGCAAACTACATTCAGCGTTTCAAGTTTGAAAAAAACGGATATGCTAGTCTTTATTCATGTTGGTAGGCAAGCTGTAACTGTGGGCTCTGACAGAGCTCGTCTCATCATTCTTACTGCAGATGCAGCCCTGCAGGTGGATAAACACCAACAAAACAGACCAGAATGACCACAAAAAGGATAAAAAGATATACGGACGCTTTAGATGCATCTCTAGAAAACTGTACGAGGGGAAGATTAGCAAGACTGGATCCATATAACCTGCATTTCTCCAGAATTCAGAACATTCCAGTGCATGAGATTTTACAAAAATTAATAAAAGTGGCTATTAAAGCTGCCAAAGCTCTTAAATAATAAACTCAGCTTAAATAATCAACTTCAAGTCAGCTTGTTATTCACCAGCTTCTCGTTAGAATTTTCGGTTAAACCTTAAACGGTGCTGCAGCTACACTGAGGCGCCTTGAACGCAGAATGAACACACAACTAACATTAGCCGACCTCAATACTTAGTGAACAAATACCTCAAACTTTGGCGATGCAGCAAATGAACAGCACAGCAAAGATAATCAGCCACTGGTCACTGAACGTGCCTCACTGTCTGATCTAATGTCGCGGTCCACACCACACACATCTGTACTTTACGTACTACGCTAATGAGTGCAATTCTAACAGTATATGCGCTATTTTTTTTTTTGCATACTATAAAGTGGGCAAGTATGCAGTTTGGGACGCTGGAATAATAAAGCGGGCAAATCACAGCCCTTTAAATTTTAGCTTTCATTTGTCATCACTACAGCAACAAATCAAATGAAGTTAATACACTTTAAAAATGTGATTTAAAAAGTGTGTTTTTAAAGAAAAATGTGTTTTACTGCCTTTGCTGGATCAGTTATGTATTTGTTGTAACATTGCTACAGCACTGCTGAATGATGTTGCCTCCCAAAATGGTAGCAGCATGATCATGAGGTCTTTGGATTTTTTTGGATTTTCCCCAGTTTACTCATCTCCAATTCCACCTTCTAGTTAGGACTCCCCCAATCCCACGATGCCACCAGCACTAGGAGGGTGAAGGCTAGGAATAATAACGCAGGCAAATCTCAGTCCTTTAGATTTTAGCATTCATTTGTTATCACTACAGCAACAAATCAAATAAAATCAGGCAATATGCTTAAATATATCAGTTAATATGCTTTAAAATGTGATTTTAAAACATGTTTTTACTGCCTTTTCTGGATCAGTTTTGGCTTAATATTGCTACAGCACTGCTGCTACTTGATGTTGGCTACCAAAATGGTGGCAGCACGATAAGAATACTAACATTATGATGAAAAAAAAGAGCCTTTTAAATATTTAATCACATTTAAATCACAAAATTTGTCATAAAAAAATTCCACAAATCATTCAGCCCTAGTCAGATGTGAGCCAAAGCTGGAAGAACAGAGCTGGTAACAGATAAGCAGAGTTGCATCAGACTGCATCATCATCATCATCTGTCATTACACTTAATTCAGTCACTGAGGATCCCTTGCAGGACTGTAACCAAATCGTCAATGAGCTCAGTGCACTGAATAATGGACAAGGCAAAAGCTCCTGTTACTCGAGTCTCTTTGGACACAAGCAGCTTCTCTACAGCCGATTGCATGTTTACTGAGTGGAAGACAAGACATTTCCTTTATCTTTCAAAAAAAAGACTTGAGTTTTAGCCAGAACAGCATTTTAAACGTCTGTTATCTTCCTTCAGATCAGTTCATGTCAGTCTGAGGGAGAGCTTCTACGGCAATAATGCTTCTAATCTGATAATGAATCGAAAGTTACCTGCAGTTGAGGACAAAAACATCTGGCGTAAAAACCAAACACTGATATGTTTAACATTTCCTCCTTTTGTTCTTTGAATTGGAATGTAAAGAAAGTAATGTGAGAGATCAGGGAACCTCCTCTTACTCACCATGTTCAATAACTCGGGGCCCTTGACGGATATGAAGTTTAAACCAGACTCGTTGGCAACTGCCTGTAATGGTAGACAGAGAATGTTAGTGGGTAAATGGTGATTCAGTAGCAATCAATGCTGGGTAGCATTTTAAAGAGTTCTTTAGGATCCAACAATCCCTTTTCAGTAATTAAGCTAGTACACAGTTGTTGGCTTTCTAATCGGTCATTAAAAGAACTGTAAAAATCAAATTAACTGATAAGATGAATTACTCGGCTTGCGCTGGACCTGAGGCTAATGACAGTGATAAGTAATGGAAGCCTTAGCCAGGCGTGCGCTACACAGCTTATAAAATCCTAACAGACTGCTGAAACAGAGATCAGTGCTGACATACTGGCATTTTTTTTACAGAATTTCTCGTCATCTTGATGATTAAGCAGAGAGAGAGGGTATCGAGGGACATACACATACATACATAATACGTTTTGGCTACAAACAAGCACCAAAATTCCCAAATTTAGTGGCACAAACAAAGCTGGAACTGGACCAGGCTCTGCTGCTTTAAACTCTGTTGTGGTTTGCAGGGCTGTGCGTAAACCTTTTGAGCAAGTAGCGCTGGTGCTATAATAGCTGTGAGTGTTGTAGCACAAATTATTGTAGCACTGAAATGAAAACTACTTACTTCTTGTAAAAAAAAAAAATGTAATCCCATTTAATGACACATTATTTTTAACTGTGAAAAGTACAAACAATTCAAACTATAATGCTAATTTTGTGAAATGTACACAACTATTTTTCTCCACATTAATTGATTCCTCACAAGGGGGCGCTATTAGCATGCAAGTGATGTTTTTTTGTGCATCATTAACAGAGATGAAACACACACATGAACCCACACCAGCAGGATTCTGTACATGGTCGCTGTCACAGATTTCAGAATGGGAAGCATAATTTCCTATAAAGGGCTCAGTGTTTTTTCATGGGAGATCTTAATCAGTTTATTTTAAAAAGGGATACAGGCAAAAGACAGATAAGGCAGTAAGCACGCCAGGGGATGCTTGAGCCTCTAAATCCAAAGGGTCTGAATAACCTGTACTGGCTCAAGACTCTGAGTAGGAAGAGTTAGAGATAAAGACAAAGAGAAGACGTCAGCAGAAGGAGTCATACTTTAGCCAGCAGGGTCTTCCCACAGCCTGGGGGTCCAGCAAGCAGCACTCCTGCAGGGGCATTCAGACCCAGGGCTCTGAACTGCTCTGGGCTGCGGACAGGGGCCTGAGCAAACGCACGCACACACACACACACACACACACACACAATGAGACCTTATTCAACCCGTATTCACGGTGCTTGTCCTGCACAATACCTACATTCACACTTGTTCCCACAGTGTGACCGTTACGAGCAACTAGGCAGAAACTTGTCGTAACAGACAAGCACTACGGCAATATAGTTAAAGGGGAATGCCACCAGTTTTTCAACATTTCTGCATAATGCAGTGATAAATATTTAAACATGGTCATTCAGAGTGTTTTCGTATGAAATTTTAGACTACAGTAGTGATGATAGGAACGAGGGGACTACAACACACACACACACACATACATACATATATATATATATATATGTGTGTGTGTGTGTGTGTGTATACACATACAGTCATGGCAGAGAGGTACATGCACACCGTTCTTGGGCAAAATAGTCCCCCAAGAACTTTTTTTCAGATTTAGCACTATTTTACAATCATAATCCCAGATATCCCGGAATCAGATTTCCTCAATTTTCCACTTACTCCAGATGTAGTCGATTGGCTGACTAATGTTTAGTTTAGCTCTGCAGCATAGAGGCTAATGTTGCTAACTAACACTAGAACTCTGTAGTCACCCAAATAGCCCAATTTGTTTCTGTAACAACAAATCACAACAAATACAGCCCGCTCAGACCGTATCCAAGTCTTCATTAAGGTCGTGCAGACACAGATATTGTTCACAACTGTGGCAAAAGGAACCAGATGTCTGAAGAGGAGGTTTAGGCTATTATATAGTACAATTATATAATTTCTTTTAGCCTAAACCTTTTATCAAAACTGTTGTGAAACAATGTTTTAGGCGTCAGGCAATGTATTATTTTATGTATTAACTTTCTGTGAGGGAGCTTTTAGAGCTTTACTAAAACTCTTCAGACATCTGGTTCCTTTTACCACAGTGGGCTGTATGTGTTGTGATGTATTGCTGAGTTCTAGAGTTCTAGTGTTCTAGTGTCTACTGAGTTCTAGAGTTCTAGTGTTCTAGTGTCTACTGAGTTCTAGTTTTTGTTAGCAACATTAGCCTCTATGCTGCAGAGCTAAAGATGCAAAATTTGGACTCCAACCATTAGTCAGCCAATCGACTACACCTGGAGTAATTGCAAAAGTAAATCTGATTCTTCACTGAACCATTCGTTTAATAATTTTTCATGTTAGCACATTATTAACACCTCATTTTTGGCAGTGCTACTTTATCTTTATATTTTATATCACACTCAACTGACTCTTGTCAGAAAGATCATCATAAATAAGAGAGCAATATGATTCTAGATTGGCACTCCTTCACTGAGAGGCTTTGATATCTGCCCTGACCACATTTTAGGAGCCTGAACAGGTCTACAGAACCTGGGTGGAAGGAATTTGGAAGCTCAAATGCTGCAGTGATGTTACTCCAGTTGCACTGCGGTTGTGTCTTCATAACATTTAATAACAAGATCAAACTGCTTCAGAAGTAATATCAGTCAGTGACCCTTACAGAAGGATTAATATTGATCCGCTGCTTTTCAAACACGTCGCTTTTTAAAAATGGAATCAAACCCTAAACAGTGTGGTTGCCCTACCAAGATGGCCATAGTGAGCTCCTCGCGAATGTCCTGCAGGGCCCCTATGTCGTCCCATGTGACGTCAGGCACTGTGGCAAAGCCCTCGCGCTTGGCTGAAGGCTGGACGCTGGTCAGCGAGGCCTTGAAGTCATCCATCAGGATGCAGAGACCAGCAAGCTGCTCTTCACTCAGAGACTCGCTTTTCTTCAGCAGAGCCAGCAGCTGCACTAGCTCCCCCTGCTGAGAGAGGCGGAAAACTGCATCAGCTGCCACTGAAGCAGAGTCAGGCAATATGGCAACTATGTGATATCGTCATACTCAGAATACACCATGTGTCATGGTATATATTTTTTCTAACGTAATATATTGGAAAAGACAAAGTGGTGCCAGACTTAAAAAAAAATATCAGAGACTATGAACAGATTTACAGTCAACATTTTTACATACTGTGCTGTACTGAATATATATGTATATTATATTTAGCAAATAAATAGTATCTGTGCATTAAAGTGTGCAGAAGTGTGCTCTCTGTAGAAAATGTGTTCATTTATTTTTACTTAGAAAATCAACAAGATGTAATTTGACTAGGGTCGTCTAATCATTTACATGTGACTGTAACTTATCTGGCTTCAGACTTTCAAAGAGAGATGACATTAAAACTGTTAACACCTGGTCATTTAATGCATGCTGAGTGTTAGGATTATATCTGAATGAGGCCACATAAAAATGCAAGTGTGAGCGCACCCAAGACGTATTTAAAACAGATACAAATCTGATCACTCAAACCACTTCAGGAGGCGGACTGAGACATATTTGAGCCACGTTACGAATGTGTCTTCAAGACACATTCGACAACCGATTCCCCCCCCAGTACAACCGAAACCCACTCCCAGCACAACCGAAACTTCTCCCATTACAATCCGAACCCCTCCTAGTACAACCAAACCCACTCCCAGCACAACCGAAACTTCTCCCATTACAATCTGAACCCCTCCTAGTACAACCAAACCCACTCCCAGCACAACCGAAACTTCTCCCATTACAATCTGAACCCCTCCTAGTACAACCAAACCCACTCCCAGCACAACCGAAACTTCTCCCATTACAATCTGAACCCCTCCTAGTACAACCAAACCCACTCCCAGTACAACCGAAACTTCTCCCATTACAATCTGAACCCCTCCTAGTACAACCAAACCCACTCCCAGTACAACCGAAACTTCTCCCATTACAATCTGAACCACTCCAAGTACAACCAAAATCCTCCCAGTACAATCAAAACCCCCCCATTACAATCCAAACCCCTCTCAGTACAACGAAAATCCTCCCAGTACAATCGAAACTCCTCCCATTACAATCGAAACTCCTCCCAGTACAACTGAAAGTCTTCCCAGTATAACCGAAACTTCTCCCATTACAATCCGAACCCCTCCCAGTACAACCAAAATCCTCCCAGTACAAATGAAACTCCTCCCATTATAATCCAGACCCCTCCCAGTACAACCAAAGCCCCTCCCAGTATAACCGAAACTTCTCCCAGTACAACCAAAACTCAACATTTTCCTAGTTTTAAGGTAGTGATAGTAGACTCTGATGCATCTGTGATGCGTGTGGGAGCTGGCTTTTGTTTAAAACAGCGACAAATAAATAACTCTGGATTCAAACAGCAATCCACAAAGGACGAAGTATTCCATTCATTTCTGAGTCACTGATTTATCTGCACTTACTTGTGCCATTAAGGAATCAGAAGCTTGTATACTCTCTCCGTCTGCTGCATTGGTAGAGACACTCATATCTTGGCACTCTGTGTTGACGTCATGTTGGATATCGTCTGTGATGCTCTGACTGGTTGGAGGGTCAGCGCTGGCTGCCTGGTTGGGTGTTTCTGGTGTCGGTGGCTCTTGCACGGGTGGAGAGATGTCCATAACATCAGCAGCAGGTGTTTTGGTGTCGAGCCGCTGCAGCAGAACACGGTTAACGGCGCTCATGGCAGCCTCTCGGCACAGGGCCATCAGGTCTGCTCCCACGTACCCCGGCGTGAGCCGTGCAAGCTGCCGGAAGTCAAAGTCCGCAGGCAGCTTGAGCTTCCGACAGAGAGTTTTAAGGATCCTGCAAATGTGAGAAAGCAAAATGTCAGTTTGTAAGATAGATGAACAAAAAGACTCAGAAAGATCTGTTCCCAGTTTTCCAAAGCACTATACAGTCAAGAGGACTATTAGAGACAGTGCTTGAAGTGATCCCCACTCAGCCACCTAACAATGAGTGTGTTTACAGGCACTTAATAATCCGATCATAATCGGATTTCTGCAGTTATCTGATTATTCAAATGGTCATGTAAACATCACAGTCCAATCTAGAAATCTGATTAAGAAATCCGATAAAGAGGCTGGATTTTAGCTCAGTAATCAGATTTCTCAGTGCACGTAAACTCTTACTCTGATTTCTTTCTGATTTCTCAGTCTGTGCATGTGCGAAAACAGACAACGGTACCGGAAATAAGCGAGCGGCGTCGCCGCGAGACGCAGCAAAACACTTTTGGAGTGACGTTGAAACCAAATACATTCTCGACGAAATGAAGGATCTAAATATTCTTCATGTATGTTCATATTTTCAGGTAAAGTGGCGCGATGTTTACATCACGTCTTCTTCAGTGAGTTTACTGATTACTGTCTGATTCACATAGACTTGGAGTTTCCCCATTATCTGATTACTCAAGTGCATGTAAACGTGTTGATCGGATTACTGACAAAATCTGATTTTCTGCAGTTATCAGATTATTAAGTGCATGTAAACATACTCGATTTGTGTTGCTGGTCATTTATAGACTTATTGGGAAGGGGGCAGACATGGTACAGACACACTTTCAAAGTAATAAGAGCAAAGTTTACAATTTGGTAGTGATAGGGAGTAGACTAATGTGGCTGAGAGTTGGCCAATGACCATGAAAGTCAAAATGCTTGGAGTCGACTCTTCGATTCATGACTGTTTTGATTATTTTACCATAATTGGCTCAAGAAACATTGTGCCGGATGCATGTGTAATACAGGAGTAGGGGTGGGAATCTCTAGGCACCTCATGATTCAATTCGATTACGATTCAGAGGCTGCAATGCGATTATAAAACGATTATCGATGCATCTTTTTTCTATACAGGATTTCTATTTTCTCACTGTGTGACGACTCGGAACTTTTAAAGCAAAGTATATGTTATGATCTATAATGAATTTATTTCCATCCATCATCTAAACCGCTTATCCTTCTGGGTCGCGGTGGGGTGCTGGAGCCTATCCCAGCTGTCATTGGGCGGAAGGCAGGATACACCCTGGACAGGTCGCCAGTCCATCGCAGGGCAGACAGACATACACACACTCACACCTAGGGGCAATTCAGCGTGTCCAATCAGCCTGACTGCATGTCTTTGGACTGTGGGAGGAAACCCACGCAGACACGGGGAGAACAGGCAAACTCCACACAGAAATGACCCTGGTCACCCGGCCCGGGAATCGAACCCAGGCCGTTCTTGCTGTGAGGCGACAGCGCTACCCACTGCGACACCGTGCCGCCCTGAATTTACTTCCATTATCTTTTATTAATAAATCAAATGGAAGTGATGTGGCAAGTGAACTAGAAGGCTCTGATTCACTGCTCTTGTTTGGAGCACATGAGATGCTGCTGCCGCTCATCTGTGATAAAATGCGCTGTAACGGTAAAATAAGATCCAGTGGTGATGGATGACCATGCAGCACATGTTACAGCTGTCCTACCAGGTTTTCTTTAGTGATTTCATAACTTCAGTTTTGGTGTTGTATAGAGTGGGGGGGTCGCTGTGTCAGTAAAATATCTTTGAGATGGGACGTGTGCAACACAGCACGCAAGTCCTGGTTCTCAACAAATGAGACAACGGCATGCAGACTGCAGGTCACACGGCAATGCAGTCTCGCCTGGCTAGTATCTAACGAAAAGGCAAAGAAAGATTTAACATGGCAGAAATAATATCAGTCAGAACATTTGGAGATTAATGGACTTATTCACATTTATAAGCAGCACAGTTGGTTTCCTGATACGATAAATCTGCAACGAGAGACTGCCAAACACTACAAAGTGGCAAAGCTGAAATCAGCTTCTCTTTCGAATTTTCCCATTCCACCTTAAATGGTGGAATCGACCCCCCCACCCCTATGCAGAAGGAAGTCTGAAGAGCATTAGTTTATTTAATTATATAGCTGCAACTATAGCTTAATTATAGCTGCAAAGGTGTCCCAGTCTGCTAGCACACAACTGATGCAACTTGGTATTATTGCATATTTTCATTCCATCACTACAATCTGTAGCAGCTCAAAGAAGTAGGTAAAGGATGATTTAGGAAGGGTTAATTTCTGCCATATCTTCTATATCCCTTTATCAACAGCTCTGGCACTCTTGGTTAAAATTAAGTGGAGTCAGGGAGTCATCTCTGTTGACTACTGCAGCAGGAGACAAGAGCTGCCAAATACCAGGGAGAGAAAAGATTTGATGCATCATAGTATAATGATATTTTGGGTGAAAAAATAGTATTGATACACACAAGCCAAAGCACTGCTGTTTAATTACTCCTAATGCTCTATTCACCTAGCATTGTGTATTTCTCTGACTAAGCGCATCTACTAAATATGTAAATATCAGTTTTTCTCAATGTTGTTTGTTTACGTCATCGTGAGTATTCTGACGTATTTTAGAGTGAAACACAGAAGTGTGTCTCTGACGGTTTTTGTCACTATACTTCACTCAAATTATGGAAGAGTTCTGTCTTTTTAATGATCAGTCTCGCTTACTGTAATATTAAAAAGTACATTTTGTACTCAGTGTGACTTTAAAATCACTTTAAAAATGGAATGCTTTTAAATAATACCACCATTAGAACTGCAGAACACCTACCACAAACTCAAACAGAGCCTATATTAATGTCTTTGTTTTATGCTTTGCCCATATATTTGTTTGAAAATCAAACATTGCTATATTTTATGAGATACAGAACATGCACAACATATGATGTAGCTTACTAGCCCTGTTCTCAGTTTCCCCATCTGGCACCACTAACTGCCCTGTCTTTTCCTTCTCTTTTCATTACTTGACTTTTTTGACCTTTAGCGCTTCCTCAGCGGTCAGTCTCTGACTACAAGACCACTGTTGATGTGGATGTTTTTGGTCGGCAGGCTGTTCTGAAGTACTTTAATGTTCATAATGACTACTTTCAACCTGATCCTTAGGCATCATCATTAGAATTTAATACTTCTAACAGTAAGCAGTGAGACATTTCCAGAGATTAAATCAATGTTAAGACCATATAAGACATTTTAAGGATCCATGGTTACCCTGACACATGTAATTTCAAAAAGATAACGGAAGAAAGAATTAAGAAGACTTAAATGACTACCTATTACTGGTAGTAATACGGTCCTTAATCCAGCTGATATTACAGACAGTTCTGTGCCTGAGACCTCAGTGATGTGAGAACGAGAGATCAGCAAGTAAAAATGATAATACTCGTCTACGAGAGGCACCAACCTGAGCCGTGTCCCTTCGTCAGGAATACCCAGACAGATCTCTCGGTCAAAACGGCCCGCCCTTCTCAGAGCTGGATCCAGAGCGTCTGGCCGGTTTGTGGCCCCAATAACTAAGACCTGCGCTGGTACAGATAATGAGTTCAGGTCTAAAAAGAGAGAGAAACTGTCAGTCAGCCCGAGTGAGTATACAACAAAAGTACAAATACCAATTACTGTGCTTGGAACATTACTGTGCTTGGAGTATTTCTTTGCTGGGAAATACACTATTCGTTTAAAAGTTTGTGGACATCCCTTCTTATTAGTGGATTCAGCTGCATTAAGGTGCACCCACTGCTGACACAGGAGTTCAAATACCCACACAGCATGTATAAACTCCATAGAAAAGCATTGAGCAATAGAGTGGGGAACTCTGGAGCAGCTGGACATGAGCCTAAAGTCATCATGCCTGATGCCATGCGTGGGTTAGAGGGGTATAAAGCCCCCCAGCATTGGGCCGTAGAGCAGTGGAACTGTGTTCTTTGGAGTGATGGAGCTCCATCAGATACCTTAGGATGAGTTAAGGTGACGTTTGTAATCCAGAACTGATCATCCAACATCAGTACCTGACCTCACTAATGCTCTTGTGGCTGAATACAATCAAATCTTCACAGCAATGTTCCAACATCTCGTATAAAGCTTTCCCAGAAAAGAAGTGGCTTGTTAAAAGAGCAAAAAGGGAAAATCTCTTATTCAATAATCTTGATTTTGAATAAAAAAAAAAATACTAGATGAGCACGTGTCCACAAACTTTTGGCCATATAGTGTATCTCACACCACCACTTGCCATCCATGCAGGTGAGTAACTGGGCAACAATTCTTCTCTCCATGTCTTTGGAGGCCACCTCTCTTTTTGGGGTGATTGCATCGATCTCATCGATGAACAGAATGCAGGGAGCATTGCTCTGTAGAGACACAAGATAGAAAGCGTAAAAGAGTAGCCACAGAACGATTCTGACCACTTCGAAATCAGTGCTGCTTCTTAGGAAATGCTTCTCTGGATGAAGATGACATGAGTAAAAGTAATTCCCCCAATAAGGTGTGGAAATAGGTATGAGTTATGTTAGTTGTATATAGTTATATAGTTAAATATATAGTTATGAGCTATTATAATTTATTCAACAGGTCAAAGAGTAAATGAATAGAAAAAGGAAAGGGTAAAACTACCAGAAGTGTTTTTATTTATTTATTTATGTTTATTTATTACACATATTTCAGTGTTTGGAAACCCAAACAGGCGCTGGCTAGATTGCAAATACTAAAACTCAATCTCAAAGATTTGTGACTTGATAATCATTATCCAAATGGAGAAAACCTCAAATTCTCTGTCTGATCAGGACTGAGTGGGACTGTGTTTCAGACTGCAGTGATTGGCAGGTGATTGACATTTTTAAGCTTTTATTTTCTTGCAGGAGTTAGACTTAGAGTCTATGTGCAATACTGCATTATGAAGGTATAGCTATGTTCAACTGTGTGACCAGCACTTTAAAAGGCAAACAATAAAGCATTAATAAAGACTTAGTAAGGGGTTCAGAAGTGCTCTTACCACAGCCTGCTCAAACAGCTCGCGTAGCTTCTGTTCCGATTCCCCCGAAACACCTGACACGAGTTCTGGAGCAGAAACCTTCAACATGGGCAACTCCATTTCCTACAGTCAGCCAGAAAAGCCCTCTGATAACCAAGCAGTGACAGCAAAACAGAGCAAAACGCCCTCTCTGACATTAAAAAGTAGTCCTGCACTAGAAATGGTCTTCACTAGCTAGACAGCACATGGCAAATGACCTCCTTTAAGTATGCCTTGAAGGAATATGTGGCCCAAAAATGCTGACGTGATTAATTAGTGAAGACTACCTTATTGTTTCTCCCAATAAATAGAACAGAAACCTAAATGGGCTGACTTCTAAACACACACACACATACATACATACATACATATATATATATATACATATATATATATATATATATATATATATATATATATATACATATATATATATATATATATATATATATATATATATATATATATATATATATATATATACATATATACACACACTTTATTATACAAATCTATATAAAATGGTTAGGCTAAAGTAATTAATACTGCACTTGTATTAAGTACTTACTAAAGGCACACTGTGTCACGCTATCGTAATTAGAGCCCTACTGATATAACAGTCTGATATTGTTGACCTGCATTTTTATCAGTGTCGGTCATGCCACTGCCAGCCTTCAAACTCATAATCTCCCCACAATTAAGAACGTTTATGCTGATTATTAGAGTTTAAGAAGTTTGGCAAATCAAAACGGACAACTATTTCTATCAGTACAGCATTTCTGGAGTATAAGATTAAAATCTAATCTATAAATATAAAATCATATTGCCTGATATTATCGATTGTCATCATTTTTACCCCCCCAAACTCGTCTTTGCCAAAAAATGTTTACATCTAGGGCCCGATCGACATAATGTTCAGACATCTGTTCAGAAATGCAAGGCCAAGGTAAGCTGCATTTAGAAAAGAAAGGCCAGTGACGAGCAGCAGACAAGTAATTTGATTGTTTTTTAAGCATTTTTGGTTGTATCCTAAGTAGTCCTTAATTCTAACCTGTCACCCACGCACTGCGGAACGTGTGTGTGAAAAATAATCGTTTGATATGTAGTTCATCTCCATTGGCTAAGCACACTTACCCCAGCGACAGCCTGGGCGAGAAGAGTCTTCCCACAGCCGGGTGGCCCGTGAAGGAGAAACCCACGTGGGGGCACTACCCCCAGCTGCTGGTACACTTCAGGGTGACGCATATGGATAAGCAGTTTACACAACTCCTGAAGACAGAGATACAGGCAGAGTGGCTTTACCAACATGGCATGGAACAGTGCATGGGCATGGTCATCAATATCGGTGATAAATATACTACAGTGTGCAGTTAAATCATACCGAGAGAGTTTCTTCGTTACCGCCGACGTCTTCAAACTTCACTGTGGAGTGCTGAAGTTCAGGGCCTCTGGTCCGAGCTTGAACGAACGAAGGCGATTAAAGATTCATTCGTTTTGTGATTAACAGAGAAACTGACATTAATTAGAAATTCCATATAAGCAGGGACTCTACCTTTTTTTGCCATTATGCTTGCCTCAATGTCGGCGTCTGTGCCTTTGCTCTCTTGCTCTCTCTGTGTTTTTCGTTTTCCTGTCTTTGTGCTCTTCTTTGGCTTCTTTTTAGACTCCAGCATTGACAAATCTGCTTCTTTCTGTAATATGTACGAGTTAATTACTGCACCAATTACTGCACCTCTATGGTATAAACACAGAGACTGGGGCTGCACGATAGGAACATGAAACGCAATGTTCATTAAAGTTGTTGGATATTGTGATGGCAATATGAGGAGCGATAAATTGTAATTACTATGAAGATTTTTGAAGTAGTTTTTGTTGTGTAAACAGAAATCTAACTAACCGCTCCTTCAAAAAACAAAATTATAAAACCTCTCGTTAACATTGTATAAAAAATGTAAAATAAAAACAATAAGGAAATATTAACAAATACTTGCATCACTGTTAAAAGCACTGCATACTTCAAGGCTGAAATATCTATATACACACAAACACACATACATATATATCGCTGTTGTCAGAAGAAAACCTTGTATCTCCAAAATGGTAACTTTACAGGAGAAGGAAAAAACACACTTTACTTTTAATGTACGTCAATGGAACCAGACGTCTTTCCAAGTCATTTTGGGCCGTTTCTTTTGGTCCATTCATCATGAAATGTACACACAATGTAAAGAGCAACAGGCATTTTCAAATTAATGGAGATAAAAGGTGTTGTTATGACAACAGTGACATATATATATATATATATATATATATATATATATAGGTATATGTATGTATGTATATACATGTGTATAGATAAATAGATAGATACTGAAATTGTCATATAAGTAATTTATCTAGCTGTGTGCTCTCTGTGTTTCTGTGTGTCAGGGAGCCGGTAGTATTTTCTTTTTCTTTTCTTTTTTAGCATTAGTTGTAAGGTAACTGCACTAATCCCTCGTGATTTGCATTTTATGCAAAGTATTGAAATAAGGCACTGATGTTTCCTGAGGTTTTCCGGTACTCAGTAGTACTGAAAAGTTTCAGTCGGTGCCTTTTTGGTATGGAATTTCGGTGCCCAGCCCTATCAGTGTGTACAAACAGTTGGGGCTATCGCCATCGCTCGATTTTAGGAAATCATCATTAAAATGTGTCTTCTTGATGAAGTGCAAGTGATTGATACTGAATATATACTGAATAGATACTGAAATTGTCATATAAGTAATTGCAATTAACGATTTAATTGTCTTTTGTTGTTCACTGTTTACAACTATTAATTGATAAGTCTGAAGTAGCCAGATTGGCTGATTAACCTCCTTATTTGCTGGCACTGTTTACCTATAGTTAACACAGGTTACAGTACCGCGCGCACACTCACACAGATGTTTACAGTTACACAGAATTATACGAGTCCAGCAAAGATGTATAAACACGTTCCCTGATTTGCCCTGTTGGTATCTTCTATTTCATTGCATGTCTGAGATACACGATGGGCCGCAGGCAAATTTAGCCTCAGTCAGCCTAACGCAAAGAGCCAACTCAGACTCAGCCAAGTTACGTTACTGTTGTTTGACCAGGTATCAGTAACACAGAATAACTTACTTAATAACCCATCACCACGACCATCTGCCACCATATTCAGTGACTACTGACAATGTCAACAAACACAGCTGAGCCCACAGCAGGCTTGTTGTAATTATCTCGTTAAAGAACTATTTAAAAACACTTTGCATTAGTCGGGAGGGCTGTCGTGATCATCAACTAATTGACATTTAAATAATAATAACTATGAAAATACAAGCCTAAAACTGGCCAAACTGATTAGGCTCTTTACTTGCTGGCTACATGCATTCAGTAGCTAACACTGGCTGTACTGTCGGATCAACACTCGTAATCAATAACTTACACAAGTTTGTACAGTTGCAGACAATCGTGTGTACAATTAAGGAGAGCTTCATGTTCTTCACTACAGTGAAAATATTAGCAACAAAACACTCAATCTTATTAACGTACATGCTAAAAAGGTTCCAATTAGCTACAGAGCTGTCAAATAAACAAACATTACTCAGCGCTGCGCTCTAAATGTTAGAAGTTAAAACTTTTAATGCACAGTTAATGCATTTAATATGACTGAAATCTAGCAACAGTGGGAAAAGACTGCAGTCAGCTTAAATAACTGATCTGATAAAAAACTGATTACTTATCTGATTTTTTATATATATATATATATATATATATATATATATATATATGTGTGTGTGTGTGTATATATATATATATATATATATATATATATATATATATATATATATATATATATATATATATATATATATATATATATATATATATATCATTTTGATGATATATATATCATCAAGTCATTTTGGGCTGTTTCTTTTAGTTGATTCATCATGAAATTTACACACAATGTAAAGGGCAACAGGCATTTGCAGATTATGTCAAAAACTGAAAAACGACAAAAATGGAGATACAAGGTTTTGTTGTAACAGCAGCAATATATATATGTATGGTGTGTAATTTAGCCTGCTGATTCCCCACAGCGCTTTCATGGAGCTAAAGCTGCATAACCATCACGTTCGAGAACTACAGCTACTCATGACCTAAAAGAGCTCACTCTGAGTGGACCGCTAGAGATGGTCAGAACCTACTTGTGAAAGGGTTAAATTTGCACTTCTGAGGAGCACAAAATAAACGCACGTTTACCGCAGAGCCGGCTGGCTCCTCCTCACACAAGTCGATCATGATATTTTCTTGGTTTTTGTTTCCCGCCTTATCAATGAACCATCCACCTGCAGACACAGCAGTGGCAGACCGATGAGGAGTAGAGCTCCCACCAGCACCGGCAGCTGACGAACCTTTCTGGGAGGCTGGATTGGGGCTGCTGGTGGACTGCTCTTTGGATGGGGTCCCGTTCTCCGGGTTCCCTTTCCGATACAGGGACATCAGGGAGCTGTTCATGTAATTGGGTTTCTGTTGAGAAGAACACAAAACATCTCCTTTGGTATTGATTCAGCGTGTTGGGGCGGGTATCGTTTAAAAAATATTCAATACTGATACCGATATAATACTTCCACTTTGATACCGATACCATAACGATTACCGTTTTTCTAATTGTGACAAAAAATACAAAAAAGGAATAAATATTATTATGATTTTCTTTTTCTACTGCAAACCATGCAAGTATTAGTGTGTTTGATGGCATATCTCTGGATGGGGGCTGATATTTAATGGTTTTTTCATCTCTCTGAATAAATTAAAACACAGAGAAAAATGTATTCACAAAGCACAAACACGTTATTGTAACCACTGTTATAGGTTTGCCATACAGGAATAAAACAAATGGTCACGAGTAGAACTGGTAAACTGGCCCCAGCACTGTCAGGACCCTCACCTCCAACATGAAAACGACATGCAAGTTAACAGGGCTGTTAACGAAGTGCTGTTCTTCATGCAGTCAACAATTCTGCAGTTTTCTTGACTGAGATTAATTTTGTGGGTAATCAAGCGTTTCATCAGATTTGACGCATTACCCGTTTTGGAAGCCACTATCTTAGGGCACTTGTTGCACCTGGAACTGTTCTTAGTAACCATTTTGAAGTAGAGCCAGACTTTCAACCTCTTCGACTGTGTGTGTGTGTGTGTATATATATATATATATACACATACATACATGCACATACATACATACATACATACATACATACATGTGTATATAGATAGATACTGAAACTGTCATACAAGTAATTTATCTAGCTGTGTGCTGTCTGTGTTTCTGTGTGTCAGGGAGCTGGTACCGTTTTTTTCTTTTCTTTTTTTACATTAGTTGTAAGGTTACTCTGAAATAAGGCTCTGATGTTTTTTGAGGCTTTCCGGTATTCAGTAGTACTGAAAAGTTTCGGTCGGTGCCTTTTTGGTATGGAATTTTGGTACCCAGCCCTATCAGTGTGTACAAACAGTTAGGGCTATCGCTCGATTTTAAGACATCATTAAAATGTGTCTTTTTGATGAAGTGCAATTGTAATGCATATTTTAAATTGAGTCTTACAGTGAGAAAGAGAGCCAAACATTTTGGCTACAGTGTCTTTATTTATTCATTTATTTATTGATTGATTGATTGAAAAGCATGTCTTTTTGCAGGTTTCTATCTTTTTCCAAAAAAAAGCTTTGTTTTCTTTATGTATTCATGATGTATTCGTTCATTACTGTTCAATTACAACTATTTTCATTGTTTGGCCCTTTTTTTAAACTCTCAATAATTTGACAAGGTCTAAACCATCTGTAGATTACTCTGATAGCTAATATAATCTTTATTAACATTAATGATGCATCAGTCTGAAAGTGGCATTCTTAGCAAATTTTGAAAAATGCAGCTGTAAAATTAAGCATTTTATTCAGCAAAACTTTTTTAAAAATGGCTGCGTAATCCTCCGGGTCTCGTCGATGCAGAATCCAGTTGCGGTTATATGTCTGTAAGGTGTTGCATGACATTGTTTTTAAAGTATTTTGGCATTTTGTTAGTATCTGTTTGCTATGAGGCAGATATGCACTGCAGAAGAATTCTTGCTGTATTTCAGCCGGTCTCAGCCTCTGGTATACTGACTGTTAGAGAAGAACTGTATGCTAAAAATGCTTAGCGGCTATCCACACCTCCATGCACAGCTTTCATCGGTTTAATGTTTTATAAGCTTATTATGAAACGGATAGTTCCAGTCCTAAAATCTGATTGGCTGAGCCGCGTTTGAAGGCGCTGTAAAATCCACGATATACTACGGCTCTGACCGCCTCACAGCAACTGAACTATGTATCACTGCGCCACGGCACAAAAACCCTTCTGCTGTTGGAGATTGGAACAATCTTTGACTCTAATGCTGATCACACGGAGCCGAGTGTACTGATGACGTAAGAACCCGGTTCTGTTTAAACTGAGGGGCTGACAGCTTATGTTCACTGAAAAACGGCAATATAAAAGTCTAAAGAACTTCACCTGAATGACTGACATGCTTCAAATGTCTGTGTGTCCCAAACAGCTCCGTACTCCCTAGCTAAATAGTGAGCTGTGTAACATTAAGGAATTCTAGTTTCTGCTGTCAAATAGCGACTGCTTGTCGAGTATGAATGCAGATGAATCCCAAATTACCATTTTTAGTGATACATTGCTCTGTTTGGCTGCAGGAGTCAGTATTTAAACTTCTACGTAGTGCACTATGTAGGGAGCAGGGAGCCGTTTGAGATTCAGCCCCAGCGTGAGAAAAGTGGCGTGGTCAGACTGTCAGAAGACTCGCGGTGGTGATTTGGTGACCAAAAGGTATTTATAGACTGAAAGTATTTGCATTGAACAGTGCTGTGTTATCATATGTTCACTGTTATGCGAAATAGGTTTGTAAAAAATCATGAAATGTCTGCAGTGATTACAGCGATGGGCGACCGAACGTTCTCCTCACTCAGCGGTCAGTGGTTGCTTAGCAAAGAGACCGAAATATAAAGGAACTACATTTCTTGGTGGAATACTTGTTTATGTGGGTTATTATTAATAATAACTTAAATAATTCTCTAAAACACTGTGTATTTTAATATATTTTATGTTGGCTGCAGTTTTATAAAAGCAATAAGCCACTTGAGTCAGTGGGTTACTGCGATTTTATGACAGGGAAGGGAGTTTTACTCCGCCAAAGAACACCCTTCCCCACGATAAAATCACAGTAACCCACAGCCTCGAGTGGCTTATTGCTTTAATAATAGCTGGTAGATGTTTTTCCCTCTGAATTTCTCCACACTGTGACAACAGTGAGCCTCTCAGAGTAAGATGCAGTGGCTGAACTGGGAAAAAAAAGTTTTGAATACTTTGAATAAGAATTTTATCCGAAGCCATTTGATTGCAAGTAAATCAGATCTTTGCATGTTTGCCAACTGGCGTGGCACTTCATTTCACGGGAGTGTGTTTTTGTTCCTTGTAGGTCACACCAACACAACTGCCTGTACCTTATTCTGCGTGTCATTCAATCATCCATTCATTTAACCCTTATACAGCAATACAATTACAATATTAATGAGACAATAAAACCTTAAAAGTAGTACAAACAAAAGAAAAATAGGATGAAATTAAGCATTTTAACTGCCCTACGGACAAAAGATGAGCATCAGGATTGTTTCATAAATCGCAAATGCAAGGCCCTTTCCTGATAAAGCAACCAAAACCTACACAGTCCTGTTTGCGACACTGCATTTTAGTGTTATTCTCTCAGCTCGCAGTGTAATTGGTTGCAGCTCATGTGGTATTTACACACTAAAGTACTTCAGCAGAGAAACTGTATTTCATTACTAAACTCAGGCACTGTCCTCAACCATTCAACAGCTGCTTACAGAGCTGAACAGTGGACATATTAGTGGACCTGTGAAACCCTTAGTGTGTATCTCAAGTAAAGTAACTGAACATCATGATAAGATGTGCAAACACTCACCTCATGCTCTGAGATATCGGCCTCGCTGTCCGTGGAATCCTCCAGCACGCTGCTGCCTTCGCTAAAGACCACCACAAATAGAGAAAGCATAATATATTCAATTTTAAACATGAACTGCTTCATGTAGGGGAAGAGTGGGGCACCTAACACAGGTTAAAATGTTACACTAATTTTTTATGTAGTGAATTTAAGGTTCAAATAGAGCACGGTCTTGGTCACCTTCTCGAAACACAAGAAGAATTTTCACAGATATCTGACTGATGTTTCTCAGGATTCACCATCAAAGCTGTTGTTGTACCATAAAGGCAACTTTTAACAACTCCTGTTAGTGAGTTTTGTGTACAACTCATAAAAAAACATCCATATTATTTTAATATTTTTCCTGTTGTGTGTAATATAGCACTGTTTTGAGGCACGCAAGTATCTCACAGTGAGAGCTAGACAGGGTAAAGTACAGCCTCCACACAGCAGGGTTAGTTTAACACTGTTAAAAAGTAAAGAATTCAGGTCGGACCACCCCCCCTCCCATATCAGTTTAAAATTGTTATTTTTTTAATGGAATTGAATGCAAAAGTTTGAACACTCCTAGTCAAATAACATGTTTTGTTTATTTTCTATATTTTCTGAGTGGTAAGTTAATACATCCTCTACAAGGAACAATCTCGAATATGGCATTTTTATGCATATTTAAGTGCACAATTTCTTTTTATTTGCTGAATTTAACATATTTGGAGAAAAAAAGCAAACATAAAATATAAAATGAGTCTTAACGTTTGCAGAGCCCACTTTCATTTTATTTATTTACTTTTTTAATATGTCAAAGCCAATAAACAGCAACTGTGCATCACAGTGTGTTCTCTGTAAGGAATGTTTTAACTTATCTTTACTCAGAAAATCAACAAAACGTGTAAATTGACCAGGTGTGCCCAAACAGTTTAACTGAAACAAAATATATTTTATTTGACTGTGTTGATAATTGCTGTTCTAGTTCTACTCCAGAATCAATAAAATACATCTACCTATCAATATACCTGACTGCCTCTTCATATTTCACTCATCATATTTATTGTGCACAGATTTTTATGTATTTAGGTTGGGATGTTTGTTTGGTTCAAACAAAACAGAAATGCATAATAATGAACTTCAACTATCAAAACAAAGTTTATGCTTTCGTTTGTAGCGGAGACGTGTAGGTCACCTGCTCAAATGCTCAAATTATTTATTCTTCCCTACTGCATTTAGCAAGGCCTGGAGAGTGCATTATAAATGGGTGTGAGGTAGAAGGTAGGAATAACAGTGTGACCAACGCATTTAAATGAACACTCGTAGTATAAGACCCAAATGTACAGCAGAACAGAAGATCTATATTACCATCTAATATCATGCATATTAGACATACACCGATCAGGCATAACATTCTGACCACCTCCTTGTTTCTACGCTCATTGTCCATTTTATCAGCTCCACTTACTATATAGGTGCACTTTGTAGTTCTACAGTTACAGACTGTAGTCCATCTGTTTCTCTGATACTTTGTTAGCCCCCTTTTACCCTGTTCTTCAGTGGTCAGGACCCCCATGGACCCTCACAGAGCAGGTACTATTTGGGTGGTGGATCATTCTCAGCACTGCAGTAACACTGACGTGGTGGTGGTGTGTTAGTGTGTGTTGTGCTGGTACAAGTGGATCAGACACAGCAGTGCTGCTGGAGTTTTTAAACACCTCAGTGTCACTGCTGGACTGAGAATAGTCCACCAACCAAAAATATCCAGCCAACAGTGTCCTGTGGGCAGCGTCCTGTGACCACTGATGAAGGACTAGAGGATGACCAACACAAACTGTGCAGCAGCAGATGAGCTATCGTCTCTGACTTTACATCTACAAGGTGGACTGACAAGGTAGGAGTGTCTAATAGAGTGGACAGTGAGTGGACACAGTGTTTACAAACTTCAGCAGCACTGCTGTGTCTGATCCACTCAGACCAGCACAACACACACTAACACACCACCACCACGTCAGTGTTACTGCAGTGCTGAGAATGATCCACCACCCAAATAGTACCTGCTCTGTGAGGGTCCATGGGGGTCCTGACCACTGAAGAACAGGGTAAAAGGGGGCTAACAAAGTATCAGAGAAACAGATGGACTACAGTCTGTAACTGTAGAACTACAAAGTGAAACTATATAGTAAGTGGAGCTGACAAAATAGACAATGAGCGTAGAAACGAGGAGGTGGTCATGATGTTATGCCTGATCAGTGTGTATTACTACCATCTCTCACCCGTCATCATCCTGGCTGCGTCTTGCTCTTTTGGCCAAGTGCTTGTCTTCTAAAGTAGACAGTCCAGACTCACTGCATATGACTCCATGCACTACAGAGAAACCACACACACAGTTTCATTAACCCCTTAAAATCACAGGTTTTTTCATACTAAGGCAGATATAACTACAGGGACTTCAATGCAAACTGGTGGCGCTATTCTTAGGTTATAGAAGTGTAGTACAGTGTTATATAATGAAAACTTCTAACTGGACATTTCAGGGGTAAAAATACAAGACAGTACAGGAGTTGTACATCCGTTATGGCTATGTAACAACTATGTAATTCTTCCCAAAGGCTGAATTATACTCACCTTTTTCTACCTGAATTCTGAAGGCAGTTCTGTTGCGGCGGCCGTAGTCCATTCTGAGAAAACAGCATAAAGGCTAGGACCTTAGGCAAACTATTAAAAAAAATATGTAGAAAAAACTGAAAGAAGTGAAAACCCACCTGAACTGATGCTGAAGGTCAGCAGCCATTCCAGCAATATCCACATACTGACTGTTTTTGGACTTCAGGTACTGTAATGGTTAAAATACACACCGTTGTGTTTATCAGTTCTGCTATAAATCTGCAGTCTAGAACTTTTCACCTCTTTCCCATTTTAACCTGGAAATCCTTAATTATTTTCCATCCATTCCCTAATCTACACACTCAAAGATGGTTCTTCAGGAGCTCTTTAGTAAAGGGAATGGTTCTACTTAGACCCATGAGTTCAATATAGAGCAATTTACATGCTTAAGTGGTTCCCTGCATGGTAAAAATGGTTCTTCAGATTGATGGAGAACATGTTGTATGTGGAACCAAAAAGGGTTATCGTGGTATCAAGTTTCAAACTTAACAAATGTGGTTCTTCAAGGGTTCTTTTGTAAAGGAAATGGTTCTACTTAGACACATGAGTTCAATATAGAACAATTTGCATGCTTAAATGTTTTTTGTTTTTTTGTTTTTTTTTTGCACGGTAAAATGGTTCTTTAGATTGAAGAAGAATGTTTTGTATATGGTTCTATACAGAACCAAAAGTGTTATGATGATGTCAAGTTTCACACTTCACACAAATGTGGTTCTTCAAGGGTTCTTTAGTAAAGGCAATGACTCTATTCTACAGACCCATATACAACACATTCTCCATCAATCTGAAGAACGATTTCAACATGCAGAGAACCATCTGAGCATGAAATGGTTCTCTATAGAACCGCTGTACTAAAGAACCACCTTTTATATATTGTTTAAGAGGAATATTATTAGCTTAGCATAGCATAGCTCACCTGTTCGACTCTCTGCTTCAGTCGTTGGTCTATGTGTCCACCACTTCGGTTCTTCATTCTCCAGCGTTAAATATGATCCCTCATTGCGTTCTGTTTGATTTTATTGAAGCTGTTTGTACCAACACGCTAAAGTAGCTTAAGAGCAGCCAGTCAGTCTGAAACAGCGAGCTAACGTTACTACCCAGCTAACGCGCTGAGCCGCTGTTCCTCCACACCGGGCTGAAACCGACTCGGTTTATAATTTAAAGATGAAGTTACTGAGGACCCATGTGTGTCTACCATTCTTCTTTAACACCCCAAAACGATGAGAAAATGCTGCCGCCTGCTGTATTGGAGCAAACGTGGCTAAGATAGCCATGGGGAATCGATTCCAAAAGAACCGATTCTTCGACTCCAGCTTGAAGCCGGAGTCCAGTCTTGGCCAGTGACTCAGAGAGTCGAACTGTGGGAGTCGACTGTTCGACTTCCTTTTTTTTTCCACTGTAATTGAATCGAGAGACATTTTGAAGGCTTGTAAAGGCAGGAAAGAGTCTGAGGCCCAGTCCCATTTCTTCGTTTTACCCCTACCCCTTGTTTTCGAGTGTCACCCTAACCCCTTGGAACTGAGTTACAAGGTGTAGTGGTTGAAATCTTCCCTCAAATTAAAAAATAAAAAACATCACTTCATTAACAGCTACCAGCGCTACTCTGTAGGCGACCCTGCCAGTCTGCAGTGACAGCAGAGGAGGGTAAAGTTCAGCTCCTCACTGCTGGGCTTTAGTTACATTTAGGGCATCATATGATCTTCAAAGGGGGGGGCTATTATTTATTATCACCCACCACTAATTCTTTGGTGATATGAAACTGAAGTCAGATATTCAGCAGCTTCTTGTTCGAATTTTCCCGTTCCACCTTAAATGGTGTGGCAGTTACATTCTGGCGCTTCAGGCGCCAGAACTGCTGGACTATTTAAGGTGGAACGGGAAAGTTAGCTAGCAAGCTAACGAGACATTAGCACACTATTAGAGATTTTATATGCTTGTTATGAAGAAAACGACCAAAATACACTGAAACACCATTAAACTAAGATAATACGATGGTTATTGTAATTTTTAACAGAGAAAATTCTCACATTTGTGTGTTTCTTTGGTCTCTTGTTCTCCATCTTGCCAGTGTATCTTTTTTCCTCATATCTCTCTGTTTGGAGTCTCTGAAAAACCTCCGTTTGGAGGGTCATGTAGCCCCAACACTTCACCCTACCCCTCTATCTCAACAAGAATCAGGACACCCTACCGCTAGACCTGAACGCACAGTACAGAGGGCTAAGGGCTGAGTGGTAGGAGCAAGGGGTGAAATGGGTCAGGGCCTGAGTTTGAGTAGTGTGAGTTTGTTTAATTACCGGCTTTAAAGGGGGATACCTTTCAAAATGTCTGCATTATTTAGTCTTTGAGGTGTCATTCAGAGTGGTTTGGTGTGAAATGGTTGATGGTAGAGAGCTGTTAATGTCCATCTACATCATCACAATAACAGCAAAACTACTAGAATCAGGTTCTGCTCTTGCTAAACACCAGGTGTGCAAGGAGTTTTGTGTGGTGCAGTGATGTTAAATTAAAAGGATATTCCAGCAGTTTTTTGAAATTACTGCATTATTGAGTGTTTTAGAAGTAAACAAAGTAATTCAGAGTGATTTTGGATTATAGAGGCTCAGATTTCTTTACAGTGCTTGTGATAGGAACCAGGGGTTGCCATGACTACAACACAAATATAGACATTTTTTTACTATCCAGAACCACCAGTGAACCAACACAAGTCTTCTGAGTTTATATGGAATGTTGATGATGGAAAATAGTGGTAAATCTGAAATAATAAGGTTTTTTTGAGGCTATTTAGTCCCACCACACCCTAGGACCCTACAGGCTTCACAAAATACATTTTAAGTCCAAAGACTACTGTAAAACAATGTCTCAGACATCAGGCAGTGTATTCATAACAATCTCATGCTTTTAGAGGTGGACGTCTGGTTCCTATCACCACCACTGTGAACAATTCTGACTCATATGAAATGTTAAAACTAAAAGAATAAAAAAATCCAGCAGAGGAAGAAGAGAAAAAAGATAATCAAAAATAAAACATACAACAAAAAATAAAAATCCTGCAAATAAAAGCAATAAGACAAGGGTGTCCAATCGTTTCTGCAAAGGGCTGGTGTGGCTGCAGGTTTTCACTCCAAATAAGCTGAAGGACACCTGACTCCAATTGTTTAATCAGTCTGTCTCAGTCTCACTACTGATGAGGTGATTTCCTGCTATGTTGGAGTGAACACCTGCAGCCACACCAGCCCTCTGTGGGTAAGATTGGACACCCCTGCAATAGGACATAGGGTAACATTTCTAGTAGGGGCGGATTTAGCGATTTTGGGGCTCTAAGGAACAGACTGGAATGGGGCCCCATGGAGACACATTTTTAAATGAGTGGGCTCCTGAGAAAGCCTGCAAAGAAAGGCTACCTTGGCAAGTGAAATCATCTTAAATCATCTCTCAGCTTTAGTGCCTTGTTCGTACCAATCTGTCTCTACAAGGATGATATGGAGTCTCTGTTACTCTTTGTCAGTAATTCATACAGTTATTCTGGTGTTTCCGTGCAAATGAGACTGAGATCATGACTGCAGCCCAAAGTATGTGGGAGCAGAGCTGCTTTTACTTCGGATATGCCGTTTTAGGCACAAATGGGGTGACAGTTAACAGGTTAAACATGAAACCATGACCTAAAGCATGAAACTGTGTGGAGTGGCTGGTTAATCACATTAACTCAATTCAATGTTGAGAGGATGTAAATGTTTCCTGATGAGATACATCAGTGATCTATTCAGTGACCATTCTGACTGTACACTGAAAAGGACTGTGAAGGGATTTACACTTAAATCTCATTAAAGCTGTTGTCAAAATGTCACCAAGTAGGATTTTAGAAGTTTTTAAGAGACGTTTACTGGGCTGAGATGTAGATCAGCTCTGATTTGGCTTCATTATGTAAGCATTTTGCACAAGAATGCATCCACATAGCAGACACAAACTGTGATGACTAACGTTTACATTCTCCAGACATTCAACCATATGCTGTATTATCCATGTAGTAATCCTGTCCTGCGCCCATACATGGAGTGAGAGGAACTGAGTATACTAAGTATGTGCACAGATACTCGAGTACTCTGTTGACTATCGAGCCTGTTTTCACCACTTGGGAAAAAAAGGCCATAAGGTCTGTCATTATAATGAGAAACTTTCTCATAATTATGACTTAATTCCCTTATGAATACTTGATAAATAGAACCATGAACACTATACAGAACCAAAGAACGCTTTGCATGATTAAAGGGTTCTTTGTGTTGTGAAAGCGTTCTTTAGATTGAAGAAGAATGTGTTGTATTTAGTTCTATACGAACCTTTTCAAAAAGCGTTCTTTTTAGCACCAAAAAGGGTCCTTCTATCGCATACAAGCTTGACATCATAACAATAAAAGAACCCTTTGGTGCTATATAGAGCCCTTTTCAAAAAGATTCTCTAAAAAAACCAAAAACAACACGTTCTCCATCAATCTAAAGAATGCTTTCATGATGCAAAGAACCCTTTAATCATGCAATGCATTCTTTGAATGTTCATGGATCTATTTAGAACCGCTGTCTTTACTAAAGAACCCTTAAAGAACCATCTTTTTAAAGAGTGTAAAACATTTTTTAGGTGTGTAACTCATAATTATGAGTTAGCGTCTCATTATGATGAAAGTTTCACATAATTATGAGAAAATGTTGTCATAATCATGAGATGCTAAGTCATTATTATGAGATTAAGTAATAATTGACATGATAAATCATCACTATGAGAAAGTAAGTCATAATTATTAGATACTAAGTTATAATCATGAGATAATAAGAAATTTTTGATATTATAAGTCATTATTGTGAGAAAGTAAGTCACAATTATGAGATACTTAGTTTTAATCATGAGATTGTAAGTAATAATTGACATGATATGTCATTCTGAGAAAGTTAGTCATAATTATGAGATTGTAAGTAATAACAGACATGATAAATCATTATTGTGAGATAGTAAATCATAATTATGAGATACTAAGTTGTGATCATGAGATTGTAAGTAATAATTGACATAAGTCATTATTATGAGATACTAAGTTGTAATAATGAAATTATAAGTAATGATTGACATGATAAGTCGTTACTATGAGATACTAAGTTATAATTGTGAGATACTAAGTTGTAATTATGAGATTGCAAATTAAATTATGATATAGTAAGTCAGAACTGAGATTCTAAGCCAAAATTCTGAGAAACTTTCTCCAGATTAACAGATCGCATTATTAATGAGATAGCAAGTCAAAAGTATGAGATACTATGTCACATTTATAAGAAAACCTCACTGTTAATGAGATAGAAAATCATAGTTACGAGATACTAAACAGTAATTATAAGATCCTAAATCATAATTATGAGAAAATCTCATCATTATTAGATAGCAAGTCGTAACTATGAGAGGCTTTCTCATTGTTATGACTTACTAAATAGCTGTAACCGGCTTCCATGGTTAACCGTTTGAGGTGCCAGCATTCAAATACTAAAATCACTAATCAAGTGTTCGCTACACCTTATCACGAATGTCTAAAAGTGAGTGAGTTGCCAAGCTGACGAGCTACTAATGACAACTAAGGAGCTAGGCTGTCTAGGTCCAGAAACAGTGAATATATATATATATATATATATATATATATATATATATAAAATAATAGTTTTTACAATATTTTTTATGATTTTTGAAACATCTGATAAGTCAGAGCAGACCACGTTTTAAAAGTACTATCAAAAACTATGGATTCAATTACTGTTCAACATTTCACACACTGCACTACATCCAATTAAACAGGACTGAGGATAAATAAGCTCTTTTTTTAATCGAACATGCAGTTAGGAACTGTTTTAAGGCACCGATGATATCCACAATATGGTCAGAAATTCAATTCTGTTTGAAGTTAAACTCTGTTTAAATTCTGTTTGTAATTCTAATTGAAGTATTAAATATGCATAACTATGTAACAGATGCAAAACTGTATATGACTGTTTCATAATGGCACATAATGACAAATAATGTTGCAAAACTGTATGTAACTTGTGCAAAATAGCAAATAACTGATACGTAACTGTATTTAAACGATGCATAAACACATATCCCTGATTCATAATGGAATACACCGATGCATAACTGCATAGGACTAATGTATAACAGCATATAACTGATGCATAACGGCATATAACTGATGCATTACTGTATATGACTGTTGCATAATGGCACATAATTGATGCATAACTGTGTATAACTTGTACATGATGGCATACAACTGATGCATAACTATTTTTAAATGATGCATAGCCACATATCCCTGATACATAATGGCATATGACTAATGTATAACAGCATATAAGTGATGCCTAACTGTACAGGGTGTCCCAAAAAATTGACATAATTTGAGATGTGAATATCTGACTAGCTACACATCCTAGTCAATTAAATTAAATAGGCTTCATGTTGAACAATACAAGATTTATTTATCGAAATTCGAACAAGAAATTCAGAGGGATGTAGATTTTCTAACCGATTTCACAGCTTCACAAATGTAATATCTTCTGATACTGGTGGTCGTCCAGACCCCTTTGTCCTGCACAGACAGCCTTCCTCTTTGAGTTTTTTTGTGCCGTGTCCAAATCTGCTTTCCAGTTGGTGCATTTTTATTGAGTTTTCTCGAAAATGCTGCTGCACACTCTTGTTTGACTGTGTTGGAGCATATTCTAACACACTAAATGCCTTTTCATTTCTAGTGAACACCATTCTTCAACCTGAAAAAAAAAAAACTTGCTTAGTTTTTACATATTTTGTTAAAATTCGAGACCATTTGTAAGAGAATTGGCTGTTATTAGACCACGAAATGATGTCAATTTTTTTGGGACACCCTGTAAGCGTTGCATAACTGTATATAACTGACAAATAATGTCATATGAATGATGTATAACTCTACACCCGGTGAATAACTGTCTATGACCGATGAATAACGGCATATGAATGACGTATGACTCTATAACTGGTGCATAACTGTCTATAACTGATGAATAAATGGCATATAAATGATACGCAACTGGCACATAGCTGTATATGACTGATGCATAACTGTGAGTCATGACGCATAACTGATGCATAATGACAAATACTGATAAACCCCTTTAGTAAGAACATGCAACTCTTAGTCATTCTGTAAGTCTATGAATCCTGGTCTAAAAAATTATACATATACATAATACGTACATACTCGTGCGCGCGCAGCGTGACGTGCACACTAACCAACCCCATCTCCGCGACGCGACTCTGCGTGCGCGCTCCCGCGGGACTCATACGGTAGAAAATGGCGAGCGCGTGCAGGAGGCGGCTTTGCACGAACGAGAAGCGCGGCGTCCGCCAGGATCTGGACTCATGGCGCTCTAGGCTCATTCAGTGTGTGGGTAAGACCGCTTATCCGGACGCGCTGGACGCGGCCGGTGGTTCTGTGTCATGCTCTGCGCGTTCTCGCTGGGAGAACCGGACCGAGAGCGGACTGGCTCCCCCGAGTCTGGGCTAGGTTAGCTCAGAGGCTAAGCGGCGCTACTAGGAGGCGGCAGCTCCTGCTGTTTATACCCGCTCTTTAATCCGCACCGACTCTTCCTCTCGGTGCCGGGCTTCTAACCGTAACTCACCGCCAGGGAGAGCCGCACTTCTGGGCTGTGGTTGTTGACTCGGCTTTAAACTGGGTGAAGTTCCTGTGTCGGGAAGCTAACCTAGCAGGCTAGCCGTAGCCGCAGAGGGAGTGTTCAGGGCGAGCGAGCCGCGCTCTGATACGAGTACACTCTCAAAAGATGGTTCTCCAGGGTTCTTTAGTACTAGGAGTGGTTCTGCTTAGGACCATCACTTCTGCATAGAGCCATTTCCTGCTAAAACGCCTCTCTGCCTGGTGAGGTGGTTCTTCAGATTGATGGAGAACGTGTAGGCTTGGAACCTTGTTAAATGCCTCTAAATAGCACCAGAAAGGGCTACAAGCCATTGTAACAATAGCAGAACCCTTTTTGGTGCTATGTAGAACCAACTCTTTGTACGCAGAACCATATGCAACACATGCCTAATCAATCTGAAGGACCATGTAAGCATATATAGGGACGTATACGGCTAGAGTGGGCGATGTGGTGATACTACAGGATGTTTTCATGATATTTTTTCCTGTATTTATTTTTTTCTGACATCTTATGAGGGAGAACAGACCGTATTTTTAAAATTTTTATCTATTCGTTTAACATTTTGACACAGAGCTGCACCAAATCCAATTAAAGGGGATTGATTAAGCTCTCCTAATCAAACATGCAGTTATTTTGGGCACTGACTATATTAGTGAAGCGCTCAGATAGGCTTATTGTGACATATTGTGATGTATTTGTCACAAGAACGTTAATAAATGTTGTCATGTTGCTCAGCTCTGTACGCAAAACGTTCTCCATGTGTCTAAAGAGACCATTTCACCATGCAAACAACTACTGAAAGGATGAACTTGTTCTATGTAGAACTTGTGGCTTTAAATAAACCATTGCTTTTACTATAGAACCCATAAAGAACCGGCTTTAAGTGTGTAGCAGGCGTGCAGGCTTGTCGACGTTGTTGTGTTTTGTTTGGGGGAAGGGGGTGGGGTAGCCTGCCTTTTAAACCGCATTTGAAGACTGACATGTCTTCCGGCTGTGTTTGGGCCGTTTACTGTGCTGGAAATGGCTCTCGTCAGCAGGACGAAGCGGGAAGTAAATTCTGTTCCTGTGTTGGAAAGAGCTGTTAGTGTCTAGAATCAGGTTCTGCCTTCGCTGAGTACCAGGTGTACAAGAAGTTTCGTGTGGTGCAGGTTTCAATGTTAAATTGAAGGGAGATTCCACCAGTTTTTCAAAATTACTGCATTGTTGAGTGTTTGAGATGTAAACAAAGTCATTCAGAGTGATTTTGGATTATAGAGACTCAGATGTCTTTACAGTGGTGGTGATAGGAACCAGGGGTCGCCATGACTACAACACAGATATAGACATTTTATTTACTATCCAGAACCACCAGTGAACCTACACGAGTCTTCTGAGTTTATATGGAATGTTGATGATGGAAAATAGTGGAAAATCTGAAATAATAAGTTGTTTTGGGGGGTTATTTTGCCTCACAGCGCGCTGCATGTACCCCCCAGTAATTTCGAATAAAAACTTTTTAGGTCAAATTTTTGTCAAAACTATCGTAAAACAGTGTCTCAGTCATCAGGCAGTGAATTCAAAAGAATGTAGTAACTTTCTGTGAGGGAGCTTTTAGAGGTAGATGTCTGGTTCCTATCACCACCACTGTGGACAGTTCTGACTCTGCAGTTCACACCAAACCACTCTACCTGAGTTTGTTTACATCTTAACCACTTAATTATACAGACATTTTGAAAAACTGACACAATTTCCCATTTAAATCCAATAAAATAAGTATAGAAAAAAGATACTGTATATACAGTACTTTTAGAGACCTAAGCAAACTGTTTAAAGCCATTTGTGTGTGTCTGCCTGTGAAAGCATCATATACTACAATGAATGCAGTATAACATGACAAGAATGTCTTGTTTACAACAGAGTATTTTCCCAGGTAAACGTTCCCCGATTTCTGTTTTATATCCCAGCTGTTGCATTGATTTGTTAAGTTGCCACAGCAGCACGATTGGTATAATTTAAAGTATGATTAGACAAACCAGATATTGGTTGCTCACTGCACATTAAAGGTGGTCGATCAGCCAGAACTATGACGATACTTTCATGCATTTGATCAGTTAGAAAAATCAGCCAGTTGTTATATTTAAAAAAAAAAAAATCAAAAACTATGAAAACAATGATTTTTGTTCAGTATCATCAAACATGCAATTTTCTACAAGTACTGATACAAAATATGCTCAGTAAAGCATCTTTTGTTGTATTGAGACGTAATTTATCACAAAAATATGTACTTTTATATCGTCCAGCCCTACTGGGCCACCTTGAGAAGAGGTTTGGAAACAGATAATCTAAGACAAACATAAAATCAGTGCATATCGTAGTAATGTTAATAGCATTTATTCTAATGTTTGTATTTTTCTGTGTACACAAATGTTTACTGCCCAGATAATAAGGCAGTAAAGCCACGAGAGGCTGTGGGTTTCTGGATTTTATCACGGGAAGGGTGTTCTTGGGCGCAACGCGAAACGGAGTAAAATCGCCACAGAGTTTTATTTAGCACCAATCCAGCGGCTCCTCTTCTCACACTAGGGCTGAATCTCAAACAGCTCCCTGCTCCCTACATAGTGCACTACATAGGAGTTTACATACTGGATCCTGCAGCCCAACAGAGCAAAATACAGCTAAGAAACAGTCATTTGAGTCTCAGACTCATCCACACTCGATACATGATGCACTGTTTGGCTGTAGAGTCTAGAATTTCTAAACCTTACCTCGAACACTGTTTAGGGAGAACGGAGCTGTTTGGGATTCAGTCTGGGTTTGACGCGACTTCTGACTGAAACACGAACATTTGAAGCGTGAAAGACATTCAGGTGATGTTCTTTAGACTTTTATACTGTAGTTTTACAGTGAATCACACAGTCAGTGCTTTAATTCAAGCCTGTGATATCAATGATGGAGCTGTTTAGGCTGTTGGCTCTTTTAGCCTGTTAGCCAGCTGACCAGCCCAGTTCTAGTTAAGAACATAAGTCAGCTCCTCAGATTAAACAACAAAACAGGTTCTTACTTCATCAGTACACTCTGTGCTCCGTCCAATCAGCATTAGAGTTAAAGACTATTCATCAACAGCAGAAGGGTTTTTTCTTGTCATGACATAGTAATACACAGTTCAGTTGTCGTGAAGCGGTCTGGATACATTCTGGATTTTACAGAGGCTTCGAATGTGGCTCAGCCAATCAGATTTTAGGACCAGAGCTCAGTTTTATAAATCACATTTTACGTACCACTTTATCAGGTCGCTGAAACTTTTGCACAGTACTACAAATATACATAAAATAGGCAGTGTGTATGTACACCGATCAAGCATTAGACCTCCTTGTTTCTACGCTCATTGTCCATTTTATCAGCTCCACTTACTATATAGGTGCACTTTGTAGTTCTACAGTTACAGACTGTAGTCCATCTGTTTCTCTGATACTTTGTTAGCCCCCTTTTACCCTGTTCTTCAGTGGTCAGTACCCCCATGGACCCTCACAGAGCAGGTACTACTTGGGTGGTGGATCATTCTCAGCACTGCAGTAACACTGATGTGGTGGTGTGTTAGTGTGTGTTGCGCTGGTCTGAGTGGATCAGACACAGCAGTGCTGCTGGAGTTTTTAAACACTGTGTCCACTCACTGTCCACTCTATTAAACACTCCTACCTTGTCGGTCCACCTTGTAGATGTAAAGTCAGAGACGATAGCTCATCTGCTGCTGCACAGTTTGTGTTGGTCATCCTCTAGTCCTTCATCAGTGGTCACAGGACGCTGCCCACAGGACGCTGTTGGCTGAATATTTTTGGTTGGTGGACTATTCTCGGTCCAGCAGGGACACTGAGGTGTTTAAGAACTCCAGCATGTGTCTGATCCACTTGTACCAGCACAACACACACTAACACACCACCACGTCAGTGTTACTGCAGTGCTGAGAATGATCCACCACCCAAATAGTACACACATCCGGTAATTGCACATCCTTTGTGTGTTATCTTGACAACAGCACAGGAAAGTGGGAAAGGTCCCAGTTCAGAAGGTTTATGGAATGGTATGTACTGGGGTGGGGAGCTCCAGAAGGGCCGGATTCCTGCACGGTTTGCTGATTTCCCTGCTCAGGCACACCTGATTCAACTCATCAGCTAATTATCAGGCTTGTGTGCTAGAGCAGGGAAATCACCACACTGTGCTGGACTCCAGCCCTCAGTTCCCCACCCCGGTATATATAAGGGTCCTAATTTGTGAGGAACAATGCTGCATTCATGTGAAAATCCTTGTTCTGCACCTTGCAGCTGTACATGGTTGGCTTTTGTTGATGGCAATGTCAAATTTGTTTATAGAGCACATTTAAAAACAGCAGCTGTTGACGAAAGTGCCGTGCACTGAATGCAGGAAAACTCATAAAACGGGCCATAAAACACAGAACCAGTTTAAATAATCAAAATAAAACATAGACAAACAGTAAGATTGTAACAACACGAAAGATGATCAGCTCTCACACTGAATTAGGGATGAGAGGTTTAATCGTTTTCATATCAAAATCGCAATTTAAGAGAGGGCTGTTGTTTTAAAAGAGTAAGTCCACCCTAAACCTTTTTTCCATTAACAGCTGAAAATCTCTAATAATAAAATAAACCAGCTTTGCTTAAAATATAAACACGTCTTTCTAAACTGTAAAAATATCATTTTTATCGTGGTCAGTTCCGCCTCTGCAGCGCCCCCTCTGGTTC